TAGAGAACTGGGCCAAAACAAACAAGATGAATTTTAACAGGGAGAAATGTAAAGTATTGCACTTGAGCAAAAAAAAATGAGAGGCACAAATACTAGATGGGTGACACCTGGCTTGAGAGCAGTACATGTGAAAAGGATCTAGGAGTCTTGGTTGACCACAAACTTGACATGAGCCAACAGTGTGACGCGGCAGCTAAAAAAGCCAATGCAATTCTGGGCTGCATCAATAGGAGTATAGCATCTAGATCAAGGGAAGTAATAGTGCCACTGTATTCTGCTCTGGTCAGACCTCACCTGGAGTACTGTGTCCAGTTCTGGGCACCACAGTTCAAGAAGGACATTGACAAACTGGAACGTGTCCAGAGGAGGGCAACCAAAATGGTCAAAGGCCTGGAAACGATGCCTTATGAGGAACGGCTAAGGGAGCTGGGCATGTTTAGCCTGGAGAAGAGGAGGTTAAGGGGTGATATGATAGCCATGTTCAAATATATAAAAGGATGTCACATAGAGGAGGGAGAAAGGTTGTTTTCTGCTGCTCCAGAGAAGCGGACACGGAGCAATGGATCCAAACTACAAGAAAGAAGATTCCACCTAAACATTAGGAAGAACTTCCTGACAGTAAGAGCTGTTCGACAGTGGAATTTGCTGCCAAGGAGTGTGGTGGAGTCTCCTTCTTTGGAGGTCTTTAAGCAGAGGCTTGACAACCATATGTCAGGAGTGCTCTGATGGTGTTTCCTGCTTGGCAGGGGGTTGGACTCGATGACCCTTGTGGTCTCTTCCAACTCTATGATTCTATGATTCTATGATTCTATGTGTCGGTGCAAGACCACAAAAGGTCAGTGTGAACTCGGCTGTACATGCTGATAATTGTGGTTGCATTTCCTCCAAAATCTGTGATCGCAGAAACAGTTGCCCAGAACCTTGCATTCACATTCTGATAAGTTCACACTCATCCTTTTTTAATCAAGTACTTGTGAACTGGCCCTTAGTCCCAAGCCCTAATTACAAATGCTTCTGGAACAGCATGTGCTGGATAAATTCCAGTTGCAGATGTAAGCATTATGTCCCTTCCGGACTCATTGTGAATCTTGCTTTGCAAGGATATATATTCTCTTTGAGAGTGACACACATAACCTTTGCTGGAAATAAAATATACCTTGCTGACATGCCTGGGGCATATCCAGATGGCCCTTAAATGGGAAGTTAGTCTTTCACAAGCTGGAGAATCACCTTCTCCAAAAGTCCTCTGGAGTCTGGATCCAAGGAGCCTTTTGGGATGACTGCTCACGTGTTCATGTGTGCATGAGTGCAATCTTGATTTCCTGCTCTGGTTCCAGCATCTCACACCACATTAAAGGCTACTCCCATATATACCCTACATTTTGGGAACAGCTTGTTGAACAGGGTGGGGGCCACAGTGAGAGCAACAGGGGCTCTGACAGTTTCCTGGAGAAGTAGGCACTCCTGTTGTGGCACTTTATTCTTGATCAGCACCTCTCAAAGATGTGCGAGAGTTTTGTCACTGCAAAGGGTAGCCTCAGTTGCCATCAAGGTGTCTCCAGATACTAGCTCTAAAGGTGAATAATCTGTTCTGCCTTTGTATTATAGCTGACTGAAGTAATTCTGCTATGACTCAACAGCAGATTTTCCTTCCTACGCGTCACAAATATCATAAACTTGAGAGCTTCGCTTGTAACTGGGTTTGAGCCATGCTTAAAAACAACAGCCCAATAACCTTCACTAAGGGAATATAAAAGTTCCATGGTGGTTATGCAGGCTGAAATCACAACTTGGCTCCTGCATGCTTATTAAATACTGGATGTTGCCAGAATTCTATCAAAGCAGACAAGGCAAGTGTGCTTGTTCCAAGGCTGTTGGATTCTTAGGAGAATCTCATAGGACAATAGCATCACTTGAGGGCTTGCAAATTAATCAGTAAATTTGCAAGTGATAGTATTTCCATACTGTTTGGTACCTATATAACAGTACTTGCATCTTTTGGTAGCAAGCTGGTGTTTGAGGTGAATTGCTTTGGGGACAGCACATAACTTAAAACACACATTTCATTGTTCCCTCCCATTGCTAGGAATGCATCACTCATCTCCTTGAAAACCTGCACTGGCTTCTTGCCACAGTCTGCATCAACCTTAAGCTTTAGTCTTTATTCTAAAGCAGGGATGGGGAAATTGTGGCCCTCCAGATGTTTCTGGACTACAGCTCCCATCATCCCTGATCATTGGCTGTGCTGGCTGAGGGAGGGGGTGGGACTGATGGGAATATCTGAAGTGTCACGCAGGTTCCCCATCCTTGTTTTAAAGCAGGCATGTCCAACAGGTAGATCCAGGTAGATCACTGGTAGATCATTGGCTCCACCCAAAGAAGCTGAACAACTGTGGCTCCCCTAAAAAACAACAACTTTGACCTGAACCCCCCAAAAGGGGGTAGATCACTGCTAGTTTTTAACTCTGTGAGTAGATCGCAGTCTCTTGGGAGTTGGCCACCCCTGTTTTAAAGCATATCTTTGTTCTGCAAGCAGATGCTAACATTTGCAGTGCTTTTCACATTCTACACTAACTCATCTGATATCACCCCCTTTCCTCATTCATTCCAGTTGTAGGGAGCAGCTTGACAGAAACCTTCTTTCTGCCATTAATTGTCAAGGCACAATCTCTCTGTAAATCATTTCCAAGCTCTTTAAGAAATGCTTTACAAAGTCTACTGCTGACTTGACCCCATACCCAGGCCAATGCTCATTTTCCAGCTGAATTGTTTCTTGTCCCACACATTTTGCCTACCTAACGTACACTCTGAACCCTCCAGGATGCTGTTGTCAGCACAGTTCTTAGTGCATACCGTATGCTTGGCATTAAGCACTGTAGTGGCCAAGCAGTATCAGTCTTATAAAATGTAAAATGTTAGGTAACTCTCTTTTCCTCTGAGGGGGCTAAAAGGGTGTGGCTAATGTGAAATTTGATTCAGTGGCCAGTTACTGGAGGCAAGAACACCTGGAATGCAGAAGTCAACCAGGACTAGTGTTTCTAGGATTGTGGTACCTTTTCCATTCATTCAGTATAATAGTCAATAAAAGAACATCCTGTAATCAGACTCACTGGCGTCTTCTCACCAGAGTGCTAAGTGTGTATTGCATAAGTGAAAATATGGGCAACTGGTTTCTTCTCTCACTTGAACTGAATTTTCATTTTGTTAATGTGCAGGCCAGTTTGCACGTACTACCTGTTTTGTATCACATACATTTACCTTGGAATGGCTGTTCTGAACAGACTTAAAAATACTGAGAAGTAATTTTATTCTCATTCATTCATTGGTCATTATTTTCTTTTTATGGGCTCTCATTTTTGTTGAATAAGTATCTTGAGATTGTGATAGGCCTTTATTGCTCTGTGGGGAAGCAAATTATCTATCACTCATGGCAAACCATTTTGCTTTGTGTCTGCAAGTTGTGCTTATGCCAGCATGACATTTTACCTGCAACATAAAAATACACTACTGTTCTGGAATACCTAAGGGATGGGCTTGTTACAATAATCCCCACCATCTCACCAGATTCTCTCTCTCTCTCTCTCCCTCCCTCCCTTCCTCTCTCTCCCTCCCTTCTATCTTTGTGTATATGTGTTTTGATAGCTAAGCCTGCCATCTTATGGTTTGTCTCTGAACAACAGTTTGCATCCTTTAATGGAGTTGCATTTTGTTATAGTGAAACCTCCACTGTATTTAAAGGAATTCTTTAACCAGAAGAAAACCTCACACAAATATATGCAGATGCTGTAATTTTAAAAACAGTTAAATAAATAAGACAAACCCCTAGTTTCAGGAAATGTTGTGATAGAGCCCATTATCACCTCGTGAAATGCTCCATGTGAAAAGCAATAAATATGGCTTTACAAATAGTCAAAATTGCTTAGCTGAATTCACTGCTGTAAAACACTACCTTTTACTCAACTGGCACATTTCCCCACCTTGCTCCTTTTTTACTGTCTTTCTCGGAGTACCTTTCTGTAGCCAGTGCAAGACTGACACAAAATCCAGATGAAATACTGCATAGTATTTCATTTTATTTCTTGCATAGTGAGTATTAAGGAGATGTCTGATGACTTGTGCGTTACAAGCACACAATTTGTAGACAGCAGCAAACTGCAATGTGCTCAAGCAAGAATGTTTTCCGTGTGATTATTAACCGGTCTCCTCCCGCCAGTCTTTTGTGGCAATTTAATAGTCATGTTGTGATTCCTCTGTGGCTCAGTGCAATGATCATTCCATTCCTGGTAATCCTCAATCATCATGTGCTTGAAGGGCAAACTAGACAGTTATAGAGAGCTGCATATAACCCTCTGTAGTTCAGGGCCCTTCACAAATCATATGGTCCCAGCACCCTGGCTGATTCTAAAGCTCACAGGCAGCAGCGTCATTAGAGTAGGAAAACTAACAGGGCAGTGCAAGCCTGTTAGTTGGTAGAGTGGGTGTGAATGAGAAGACTGCAGTTATGTTTCTGCAAGGAAGATGTGGGTTTTAAAAAAAATAGTGGGATGTTCTATATAGAAAGTTTGTTTGAAGCAGTGTATGTGAAGCCCCTGTCTGACATGTGGGTTTGGTGAATTATGTAATCTCTGGGGAATGAGATCCTATTTGTGTCAGGCCCCTTCTGCTTCTGTGGCAGCCATTACAGGTCCATTACTGAGGTCCAGCTCTGAGGGCCTTCTGGCGGTTCCCTCACTGTGAGATGTGAGGTTACAGGGAACCAGGCAGAGGACCTTCTCGGTGGTGGAGCCTGCCCTGTTGAACGCCCTCCCATCAGATGTCAAGGAAATAAACTTTTGTCATTTTCATTTCCAGATGTCAAGGAAATATGACTTTTGGAAGACACCTGAAGGCAGCCCTGATTCCCAGTGCCAACCTGTCTCCCCTTTCCTGTAATAAATCTCAGCCCCCTGAGTACCTGCAGAGGTGCTAAGGTGATTCTTACGCTGTCGTTTGCAAATTGTGCTTATCATACTGGACTGGTTAGAAAAGCAAAAGAGAAACACATTTACTGCAGTCTGGGTGCTTCTACTCTAATGGACTTGGTGCAGAGCCTCTATGTTGCTCGCTCAGATAGCTACTTCTTGACACCCTGGCTGTCAGATGATGATGAGCTAAATATAAATACGCGCTTTCTTCACTGCAAGAAGCTGGAATATTTTGACGTTCAATCCCCTCCGTGGAAACAAGCTGCTTACTCACTGCTGCTGCTGCAGTATGAGTCACCCAGGAATATTCTTAGCACAGCCAGATGACAATGGGCTCCCAACAGCCAACCATCCATGCCAGCTAGCCTGCCCAGTGGCAAGGCATGATGGGAGTTGTAGTCCAAAAATGTTTGGAGGCCAGCTTGGGAAAAGCTGTCTTTAATATGAATATGTGTGTTCTCATTTTGTGTTCCTTGACCCCAACGCTTAAGGCTGTGCAATTTTCAGGAACCCCCCCCCATTCCAGACAGATTCCCCCCACCCTCAAAGAATTCTGGGCAATGTAGTTTTCCCTTCACAGAATTAGTCTTCCCAACAACCCTGCACAAACCACAGGGCCCAGGATTCTCTGAGGGGACAGTGCGGGCGCCCCGCTTCTCCTCATTGGCTCACCCCACAACTCCTCCCCGTTTGTATTCCTGACAGGAGAAAGCCCCTTATCGAAGGCTCCGCTTCCCTCGGGATGAAGGCCAGCTCTGGCCTGGGAAGGGGCAGGTCGCGGCGGGTGGTTTATGTGAACAGTTTCGGCAGCCACCGCTGCGGCAACGTGATTCGTTATGGCGGCGGCGGCCACCTGAGGGACCCAGAGGCGTCCAGCCTCTCGGGCGCGTCTCTCGCTGCCGCGCTCTCGGGCAGAAGAGGCTCTCGGGGTGCAGCCGATCCCTCCGGGGAACGAGGGAGCCCCTGCTTGGGGCTGAAAGCCCCTGGCGAGGCGAGAGCGAAGGGGGTCGGGAGAGGCTGGGAGGAAGGAGGCGAGGCGAAGAGGCCTAGAGCCGAGAGGCTGGTTGGGGTCAAGCCACCGCCGTCGCCACGCGAAGGGCGGAGCAGCAAGGCGGAGGCGGCGGCGGCGGCGGCGGCGGCGGCTGCCAACTCCACAGACTCCGACGGCCAGGAAGAAGCGGGTACGAGCAGAGCGCAGGGCAGAGGCCGGGTGTCCTCGCCGGTATTGCCTCGTGGTGTTAATGGGGAGGGTTGGCAATCAGTGCCGGATTTACGTATAAGCTAAACAAGCTATAGCTTACAGCCCCACTCTCTTTCCCCTCCCCCCAATTTCACTATTAACATACTTCTTAATTGTATTTAAGTTCAACAATTACTTCGATAAATTACATATTTTGTTATGAGCAAATGGCTTTAGATACCTAGTAAAGCTAAAGGGACCCCTGACCATTAGGTCCAGTCGTGACTGACTCTGGGGTTGCGGCACTCATCTCGCTTTATTGGCCGAGGGAGCCGGCATACAGCTTCCGGGTCATGTGGCCAGCATGACTAAGCCGTTTCTGGCGAACCAGAGCAGTGCACGGAAACGCTGTTTACCTTCCCACCGCAGTGGTACCTATTTATCTACTTGCACTTTGACGTGCTGTCTAACTGCTAGGTTGGCAGGAGCAGGGACTGAGCAACGGGAGCTCACCCCGTTGCGGGGATTCGAACCGCCAACCTTCTGATCGGCAAGTCCTAGGCTCTATGGTTTAACCCACAGCGTCACCCACGTCCCTAGATACCTATTAGGTGCATAAATTACCATATAGCATATATTCAACACAAAAAACAGCGACAATTTGTAGTTAACAAAGGACAGCTGGACATATAAAGGACCGCATTACCTTCAGTAGCTTAGGGCCTCATCAAACCTAAATCTGGCCCTGTTTGCAATACTTGCATATCCCCTTCCATGGTAGTTCTGCCTTGGGGTGGTGAGGGTCTCGCAATAATCCGGAGGAAGGAACTGGTGGGCGGAATCATTTCTTGTCCATTTTGAATGTGGGATTTCCCCTTGCATAGGATTGTGCTCCCTTGAGGAGTGGGAAGTAGTTCTGCTGACTAAGAAGCTGGGCCTCCCTTTTCATTTTATTTCTAACAGCTTGCAATACCAAGCCTTGCCCCGTTAAAATAAATAGAGAGACAGCAACCTCCTGGCCCTCAGGTTTTTGTTTTTTTAAAAGTTTCTTCATGTGTCAATGCAAGACTGGTTGCCAGTTTGTTGTCAGGCCCGTTTCAAGATGCATTTAAACACATTAGTGTCTAAATGACTTAGGCCCCAAATATCCAAAAGAACGCTCCATTCCTGCCAACCTGAGTTGTTAAGATCTGCAGAGGGGGCTCCTTTGGTAGTTTTACTAGCCTGTGGATAACGAGCTTTCTCTGTGACAGTACCTAACTTGTGGAACTCACTGCAGAGGTTTTCCTCCAACATCTTCATTTTACAGCTATGAAGCCTTCTCTGTATGTTGAAGATCCATCCCCTACTCTGACCTTTGACAGGTTGTTGGTTTTTTTTGGTGGGGGGCGGATCTGGCTCTGGCTGATTTTATAGATTTCCATTTGGAATGGCTTTACAGTGGTGCCTCACAAGACGAAATTAATCCATTCCGCGAGTCTCTTCGTCTTGCGGTTTTTTTGTCTTGCAAAGCACGGCTATTAGTGGCTTAGCGGCTTAGCGGCTATTAACGGCTATTAACGGCTTAGCGGCTTTAAGAAAAAGGAAACAAACTCGCAAGACGTTTCGTCTTGCGAAGCAAGCCCATAGGGAAATTCGTCTTGCGGAACGACTCAAAAAACGCAAAACCCTTTCGTCTAGCGAGGCATTCGTCTTGCGAGGCATTCGTCTTGCGAGGCATTCGTCTTGCGGGGCACCACTGTACATCTTTACATAAATGTAATTTTAATGGTTTTGTCTGTTTTTATAACTATATTATATTATTATAGCCTGCCTTTGGACCTTAAGGTGAAAGAAGGGGGGAAAGCTTTTATAAATAAATAAATAAATAAATAAATAGACAGACAAACAAACAAACAAACACAAGGGCCAGAAACTAGTATGACTTTCCTTGTTTACACAATTTTTTTCAACAGGACTCTTGTCTCCATCTGGTGCATTTAATATGTTCCTCTTGTCACCGTAACACTAGCAGGAGAACCTGCACCTGCTGAAATTCTCCCTGAGAAATACATGTATTCAATCTTACTGACTCTACACACTCCAATTCAATTTGGTTTAAATTTATTTCTAAAATCATGGATGGCATTCAGCATCAAGCTATGACGTCACTGCAAGCATATCTGCTTGCCAGATGGAACAGTCTCCCATCTCTTTCCCCGTGCATTGTTCTGAGGGTTTTCCCCGACCCTCTAGAACAGATTTGGGGAAGACTTGATGTACTAGGCTAGTAGTCTTAGTCAATCATTTCACTGTTAAGGAGTATATCGTGATTTAAATTAATTATTTTTCAGAACGTAATACAATGTCTACAAATGCTGGAAAATCATTCACTTATAAAAATTTAATTGTTTGAGATATATATATCCCCTCAGAAATAGTTTCCATTAAGTTCATTGGGGCTTGCTCCCAGGTAAGCAGATATAGGATTGCAGCAACTTTATTTGCATACAGGGGCGTCTTGCCCATAGAGGCAAGTGGTGCGGGGTGCCAGGGTGCCACGTTCTGGAGGGCGTCAGGGAAGAGGCAGGCTGGACGCAGCACTTCCCGGCATCAGCTCGCCGCCCTTGCCCGCCTTGCTGAAGCAGTGCCATGCTCGGAGCCTCCGCCTCTTCCCCACCGGAGGAGCCACCCTCCAGCCGCTGCCTGCCTCCTCCAGCCCCACAAAGCTGCCGGCAGCGCAGTAAAAAGGTTGGCAACTCTGGGAAACCGGGGGGGGGGGGCGGCGCTGGAGGGATCTTTGCACCACCGCGCTGGATATACTTAAGATGGCCCTGTTTGCATAGTCCTGCAGGTAGGAGGGCAAACCCATCCAAAGATTCCCTCCATCCCCTGAAGAACAAGAACCTTAACGGTAGTTCTAATGATATTTTTCAGCACATCTAAAGACATTAGAAACCCTCCCCCCATTTGTACTGCAGTAAAAAGCCTTTCTCACAGCAGCAGCAGGAAACATATTGAATTCTTCCCCCTGCCCCCAGTTCTGATTGCCATCTTGCCTTCGTTTCCAGCTACTATCTGAAGAACAAGATGAGCTTCGTAATGCAGCATTATGCTGTACCCTCTGCAAGGCTGACATTCATGCTTTGAAGTGATATGAAATATTGATCTTTCAAAGTGGTTTGTGAGAGATTGGCTCCTATACTTGCACCATGATTGCAAGGGAAGGTGGGGGAAAATAAGATTTTAATTAGAGCTACATGATCTGATTTAAATCTGTGATGTCTCACAGCCACATGTTAGCAGTTTGATATTAGTAGCTGAAACAAACACAGTGGCAAATAAAATCCAACTCTTTTAATAGGTGGCTGCAAGGAAACTCAAGGAGATGCATTTGAATTTCCTCCTTCCTGGGAAGTTGATAACAGTGAGATCAGGCATCAAAAGAAAGAGGTAGAACATCAGCACAATGGCACTAGAAATAAAAAATGAAGATGCTTTGCAGTCTGTTCCAGAACTGGTTAGCCATTACAGCATTCTTTGAAGCTGTCCCCTACCCAATTGGGCCCTGCTAAGGTGTAATATGAGAGTGGTTCTCTATGGAGGATGAGGCTTTATTGTGCTATACACTGAGTGTTGCTTCAGAAGAGGATAATATGTTAAGAAAGCAGATTATGTTCTCAGTTGTGGGTGAATTTAAAATAACTGAAGAGAGTGATAAGATGAAGAAGAGAGTGATAAGATGTCAGGGTTTAAGATTGCCTAGAAATTATTTTGGTGAATTGGAAGTGCCTTTCTCTAATCCCAGATGTGATTAATTAGCAGTGAAGGGAAAGTACTCTGCCCATGCTCAACAGCACTCATGTCCCATTTCTCATGTTGAGGAATTACGCCCAGGCACTAAAAACAGTTGGGTGGGTGGGACTAAGATCAGGCTCAAATTAAGCACATGTTTCTCTTGTCCTATTGTAGCATATTTCTTTGATTGTGGGGTGAAATGAAGGGGTGGGGTTGGGGAGAGACACTCATGATTTTATATGCATGTTTGACTTGTTTTTCCCGGTCTACCACTACCATGTGGCCCCTTGAAGGTTGGTCTTGTGGGAATGTGACTCTTGGGTTGAAAAATGTTCCCCACCTCTGGAATAAAGGGGGGTGGAATGTGAAAGTTGGATTAAATGACAATTAAATGCAAAATGTACAGTCTGACATTTTGGTTGAGTCTAACTGTATACCAAATAAGCACAGCGACTATTCACAGCAGCTGTAACGGCTGATTACACAATCAGTTTTATATCCATTCACCCTGACCCACAGATTCTCACATGTAGCAGTGGGATGCCTGTCATTATGCATGATAATCTCCATATGATCATCTGATACGGTGATAGTTGGTGCAGTTTTGCTGAGGAGGGCAAGATTCTAGAAGGGCAAGTATGTTTAGAAAAGAAGGATCAGCTTTAAAAGTTTGGAAAATACAATGGTCATCCAATTTTTTAATTATAAATTTATATCCCACCTTTCCTCCCAAAGGATGGGAAGCAATATATAAGGATATATTGATTGGAAAAGAGACTAGAGTCTATATTAGTAGAAAGCCACATTTCATTCTGTATCATAAATGCAATTCTGTGCTCTCTGAAAAGTTCACCTAGTGCCTGAGGATAAAACCAGACATGTTTGTTAAATTGACAACTGATTAATAGTTTTATTATGTGTAAAGTAATCAACTCAGATTTAATTTATTCAAATGTCACTGATCCATGATTTAAAATAATGAGGAAAACTACTTCCTTCAAAGGAATATTTTAACATCTTGTTATATGGTTTATCTATTCAATATTTTGCAAGAAGGACAAGGATTTTGCCTTATAATTCACCATTAGAAGTAAGGCTAACTCATAGTCTCTCTTATTATCATTAGGCTTCTGCCACTTTCATTGATGTGATTCGAACTGTGTAATTGAATGTATCACAGAGTAGTAATTTTAACTGTGTTAGCATCATGTTTTTGAATGTACATGAATTACATTTTCAGCTTGATGTCAGTGCCAGTTTCTACTTTAGTTGTATTGGTTATAAGAAGTGTTGTGTTTTACCACTATGGGCTGATTTATGAGCATTATTCTTAACATGTACACACAATGCACATGTTAAACTGTGAAGGAGGCAAACACATTTCATTTGGAACGTATACCCATGTGCCTAGAAGCACCAGGGGCTCTTTGTGAAATATACACATACGTATGAAATAATGTGTGTGACTGTGAGACTATATATATATATATAATCTGTCTATGCCTGTGGCTGCTTGTTAAACAATCTGCTGCTTCATGTGAGAAGGTGCTGCACAGTCCATACCACCTTCTGTGATCTGTATGCACAAACTTTTTTCATGCAAAATCTTCCATCTCATTAAATTCAAAAAACCCCCACTGTTAAATAAATACAAGTTCTGGCATGATTTGTCTACATACAATATTTTTGTTGACTGCTTCCCCCTGGTATGGCACATACCATTGATTATGGATCCTTTCTCTCTTATTCCTTTGCTGCTCTGCAGCTTGACACAGATAATTTTGTGTGACATTTTAGTAGAAGCCAAACTATGCTATGTCATTCGGGCTGTGTATTTGCTGCCTCCAGAGAGTTCAAGGTGATGTAAATGGGATTCTCTCTTTGTCCTTGCTACAACCTGGTGGGCTTGGTTAGTGAGAGAGTGACTAGCCCAAGAGTCTTTCCTCAATAGGGAGCTGAACTTGAATCTCATGCTCCTAGTCAAAACTTACAGCCCAATATTACACTCTCTTTTTACAGTCCTGGAGCCCTGCTATTCAAGAATTCTGTTTTGTGGTTCCCTTTCCTCCTCTTTTTTTTTTTTTTTTTTTGCAAACAGCATCACATGTACATGCATGCAAGGGATGCAATTGAACAACTCCAACATTTACTAAGGGGAAAAACCTTTCTGTTGAAATTCTGAAAGAGGAAGCAAATATAAATAGGAAATATGCAAAGATTGGTACTGGGGAAAAAAGAAAGTGGGAGTGAAATGCAAACAAGAATACTGACCTGGAAGGTTAGCAGACAACACAGATACAGTCAATATTGAAATGTCAATACTGTCTGTGTTATTGCTAATCCATGATGTAAAAGCTGGTTCTAAATAGCTCTGGAAAATACTGTTAGGAAAGAGGTTTGCTTCATGGAGGGACAAAGATGAGTCTTTTATCACTCAGATACTAGACTTATAACAACACCACACCAGAAGATACAATTCTTAGTGATCAGCAGGTATAGCTTTGACTATACCTACTGGGGGGCGGGGAACCGGATTTGGAGGTGCTAGCTCATAAGTAACACCAAAAAGTGAAATAATGCATTTTTAGGGCTAGACCTTTTAAAATAAAAGACAATAATGTTTAAGGCCAGTCATTTAACAATGTAAATAAACAGGCACTTGTGTTATCTCTTCTCACATTTTAAAAACACTTATCAATAGGTAAGGCATTGTTGTTCTGTTGACATACCTCACATATCTCTATTTCTAGTCCACAGTCTGGCTTGGAGTGTGTAAAGTAATTTCTAAAATGATGGAAGAAAATGGACACTTTAGAAGCAGATTGCTGCTCTGTAGCAAACTTCCAAGTGAAGGTAGGTAAGAAGTAAGCTTGTGGTACTCTTGACTCCATTACTATGCCCAGAGTGGAAAGTTCTGGTGATATCCAGGCATATATTTCACCAGTATCATCTGGTAAGATGGACTTTACATTCTGTCATGCTAAATAACATCCACTCCTTTGTTTCCTTGGGATCTGAAAACTGTGGCCCTAATCTAACTAAAGTTAGTTGGGCTTAATGCCCCTGAAATAAAAAGGAGAAGGTGGTCATGAATGATTGAGTTTCCACTGATTTGAATGAGACTTGAAGCAGAAATAAGTTTAGTTGGATAGGGTTCTAATTTGAATTGTTTCATGAGAGGCTCCCTATGAAAAGTGCTGTGGTGCTGCAGTGAGCTAATACAGGACACAGTGGCTTTCTTCCAAGGAGAGCTCACAATGAAGTACTTTGGGAGCAGATTGCACACGTGCTTCAGAATATTTCCAGGCTTCCTCTAATCTTGCAGGCAGAACTCAAACCAACAGTTTGGACAGAGAAAGCCCTAACTGCCTCAGGCTTGCATAGGCACTAGTGCCCCAATACCATCCATAAATTATATTTGAATATAAGAGATAGATACCACTTATTCTCAGTACCTATTCCACATTTATAAAACACTTCTGGATATTTATCAGAATAATTGTCTGGAAGTAGTATTTTACGTGTGTTCTGACATGTGGTGACCGAGGTTTACCTTCTGTATTCATTTTATATTGCTTTAAATAACAATGTCACTCCTTTTGTTTGGAGCCTCTGGGATGGTGTTGAGGGCAGAATTTACAGTTAAACTTCCCTAGCAAAAGAGATACTTGCTACTTTTCCAGGATTAAACTAGCTATCACAGCTGACACCATCTACCTCTCCTTTCCATACTTTCATTTTACAATGCTATGAATGAGAGATGAACAAACTTCAAGAAGGAATGGGAAAATTTTATTTAGGAGACCACTGTAAGCAGATGAAAACATTAGCAGGATTTTAACAACACTTGTAATGTAACAAATATTATGGACAATATGGAAAGATACAAAATATGGATGATGAAATATTATGCAGTTGAAAATGTTGACAATAGGACCCGTGGAGGGGAGGGTGGGAAGTCTGGAGATTCAGAGAAATCTCTATATATGGTTATGTATTTGGCATTGTTATAACCTTTCACTTGTAAAATCAAATAATTTTTTTTTTTTAAAGAGAGATGCACAAAGATGCTGCCATACTCGTTTGATACAAAATCTATCATGAAAATGAGTTTCTTCTGTAAAATTAGAAGATGACTGCCTATAATATATGAGTATTACATAAATAAGTGAGTTTCCAATGAATGCTGGCTATGACTTACACTAATATAATATTAGAATATTTGTGGCCTAATTGAGGCCTGGATGCAAATGAATGATGAATGGATGGATGGAAATGAAGCATGAATTAAAACTGACATTCTATTGATGCAGTTTCCATTAGAGCTTTGTAGCTGCTGCACAATTCAAAGTAACACAATATTATGCTTACAATCATAATTGGAATTTCTGGCTTCACAGTTTAATTAGTTTTAGGAAACAGATTTACCAATCCATTAAGTGTTATGTGTTAAATTTAAAGTGACATATCCTAGTTTGTCTGCTGAGCTTACATTAATGTCAATAGAGGTCTGCAAACTATGTGAGTATAGAATATGCATTGGTATTTGGAAATAACCATTGGTAGTTTCTGTTAGCAATCTTTTGTATTTCCTTTTGTTGTTCACATTCCATATAACTCCAAATAGCCAAACTTAAATTAGCTAGAATTTCTAATTATCTATTCGGAAAGTCCAATATTGTAGACTGGTTTCAGCTATAGTAGCACGGTTTCAATTACAGTAGCATAAACATTGACAGTACCATGACAGTGATTTTGTGCTAATGCAGACACTTACTTCCAAGTAAAAATACATAAATTTTACTGTAAGTCACTCTGTGTTCAATGGGGCTTTCTCCAGATAAGTGTGTATAGGATTGCTGCTTCACTATAGGATTAGGGTATTAAACCAGTATCTTAATTTCCTCCAATGAGCTCAGGTAAGTAGTCAAAATTCAACAAGCCGTTTAGAATATTAGTAATAGGTACTTGTGCCCCACTCCTAGACTGAAAGCAAATCCCATGGTTTTGAGTGGCACTTCCAATTCCTATGTGTGTTTACAACTCATTGAACTCCACAGAGTTCACTTCTAAGTAATCGACCAATTTTACTCAGAGTAGGCCTGTTGAAATGAATGGATTCAACTTAATCATGTTCATTAATTACAGTGGGTCTATTCAAAGTAAAACTTAGTTGAATACCACCCAGTGGAATTTACTCCAGGTAAGTGTGTATCAAATTAAACTATGTCCAGTGGGGCTTTTTGGTGGATTTCACTCTCTGAATGTCATATTATTTATATGTCCCCTCTCTGTTCCTGTATTCCCAAACCACTGCAATACCTGTATGCAAGCAGAGGAACTAATTTGTGGTCTTCGTGACTGAGGTTCTGTTTGCCCGGTTTACAGCTGCTGCAGCAGCTGTGATTCATAATACTTGAGGTTCCCCTACAGCCTTTTTCTGCCTTGCTCTCTCACTAAATTACAAAAAAGAGTTATAGGGTTTTCCAGAGCATTTGTGTTTTATTTAAAAACAAAAGAAAGCCCAAAGCTAACTTTCTGTCTTGACAGATATGAATCACTTAAAAATGCATCCCTCTTCCACTGGCTTTGACAGTAGTAAGTGTGGCCTAGTTGAGAGCTTTGATTGTACACCAGGAGGAAGGAATGGACATTGGTATTTTTTTCCCTTACTTGTGTTTTCTGATGCCCATTGTTGTTATCATCCATTAGAAATTACATAGTGGCAATAATCTTTGGCTATAATTTGCTTCTTTTTGAAAGGCACCATTATGTTACCCTCAGTGCTAATTGTAGTTCATTTTTGCAGAGCTTTAATAGTGGCTCACTTATTAAACTCTATTTAGCTGAAAGCACTTGATTTGAATGCCTTCTTTCTAATTAGCAGATTTTGCACAATATTGCACTAAGGAGATAAGTCTCCTATTGATCTGAATTCTTTATCAGATAAGTAGTAAAAATACATTGGAGTAATCACAGTAGGACTGCAAATGCAGAACAACATGTCTGAATCAAGAAGCCTCTGTTTTGCACCAAACAGTTATTGTTTTGCACTTTTGTTTATATAGTAAAAGCAAGATTATTAATGCCACATTTTGCTATTTCTGTAAATTGTTTTCTTTAAAGGTGATTATTGCAATTTTAATACCATAGATTGCTTCAGATGAAATGTAATGAGAGTTCCAATACAAATGAAAGCGATATATTTGTTCTCATGAAATTCTTCCACAGGCAGAGATGTAAATGGGAATGTACAAAATGAGACTTCCTGCATTGACACTGTAAGTAAAACTCTGCTTCAGTTACATAATGGTGATAGAAAATTATTTAATAAGGGCTACACTTTCACAGAGAGGTAAGCAAAAGTTGTAGAATCAGAGATGACAATGGACCGTATACTTCATATATTTAGCATTGCAAATGTTGATGCTCTTTTTGGAATGTTTCAGTTAACTGTGGTAAAATTCTGTGAGAGTTAATTTATCATTCCAAGTGACATGCATATCATCAACTTATCTCAGGTATATATATATGAGAGGCATTTTGATGGTGAATTGTCTAGAGGTGGCCCATGAGAAGCTTTGCTTATTGGTAGGAAGAGCATATTTATGTTTTGTAAACTATCTCAGTCATGGATATATCTTACCGTGCAATGGCAAAAGCCATACAGAATTTACATTGTTTACTATATTTCTTTGGTCTACTGCCAAGACAAATTTTTTTTCACCTAGATACTTTGCAGGTTTTGGAGCTAAATATTTTCAAATGCTTGTAAGCTGTGGTATCAACATGATTTAAAAACAATAGAATTAAGTCTAAGGGCAGTATTCAGCTATGTTTCACTCAGAGTAGACCCATGTAAACTAATGAGCATGAATAAGTTAGATCCTAGTTGAATACCAACCCAAGAAATATTGAGTGGAATTCAACATATTACTAAGGTGATTGTTCTTTCAGAACAAGGATTTGTACTTGCCCAGAGGAATGCTCTTCTGGGGAATCTTGTAACCCTCAACAGCAGGTGTGGGGAGGAGACAGGGGAAACCCCCATTGCACTAGGGGCATCCTTGTGTTGGCTTCTGCTAATGGAATGAGGTATTTGATTTTAGTCCAAATTTTTGGGTTGATATGGGATCCAAATCAGGAGAATAGTCCCTGCTCATAGAATTCTGTGGAAGGAAAATGTTTCTGGTAGGATCTAACTCTTAACATGTAGGAAATATTGGATATTACATTTCCCACACCTCATCTATGGATGCACTATGGTTTGACTATGCTGAAGTTCTTCCTTAATTTGCTCTATATTGTAATTTCATCAGGAACCATCCTAAGAGCTGATGGTTGACAGAACAAAGGAGCCTTCTGTCTATTTGCCCATCTCATCTGGTCAGGCAAACTTAACTAGAAACGGCAGTACAGAAACTCCTGAAGTTGTCTAGGCATTGAGCAATTAAGCAGCTGCTTTGCAAAGCAGACTTCTTCCAAAGATAACTATTCCATAAGCCTGTTTATTGTAAACAAGAGATTCATAACCAAAGGTTTTTTTAATCTCCCTTTTCCATTAGGATGAAACCATTTTTGGATGGGTGTAGGAAACAAAGCAACAAGGAAATGAAGATTTACTTCAGGTTTTGCATTTTAGCTGTTTTCCAGTAATCCTTTAACTATACTGGAGAAACAGATTCTTGGTGTCAGAGGTACTGGAATACAAATACTAGACATGTTATGTGGAACAATTTATGTGTTTTTCATGTAATAGGTTAATTGTAATGTAAGTTTGATTTTGTTTAAATGTGATTAAGCAAATCAGCTTTGCACTTGGGTTTAGGTATTCATAAAGGAATACAATGCAGTATGATTACAATACAATATAATATTTTTAATGTTGATTTTATGTGTATGTACTGTACTAATCAACTTCTCAGAATAAAGTATGGATCTATGAAGTAAATGTACAGGTCTGGGAGTTTGTATCTCAAAACTGAGTTTAATTCCTGCTTCCATTACACTGTAATGGTACGCCTGAATATTACCTGAATCTCATAATGTATTTCAAAAATATACAGGGTAGTCATCCTCAAGGACAGTGGACTGTGGGTAATACTACAGGGTCATAACAACAACACATTATGAATTGATAGTGTAGAAGTTGGGATGCAGTGTCAGTGTCTCATTAGCGCAAGCAGGAGTCCAAGAACTATTCAGCTTAATGAAGTCTACTGGGAGTTAGAGGAAGGTTTCACTTCCTTCCAGCTTTCATTCTCCTGGTACATACCAACTCATTTCCTTCTATGTGGAATTGCCTGGAAGTCCCAAGACTTATAGCAGAGGATCATAGTTGAAGAGTCATACAGTTTCTGAGGCCATAATAATAATAATAATAGTAATAATAATAATAAATAAAAATAAATAAATTTTGGTCTGATCCAGCAGGGCTCTTCTTTTATTTATATTGCCAACTCATTAATTATCTCCAAGACCTCTCATTCTTCCCTGTCAGACTTTGATACATTTCTCAGCTCCTTACAGTCTGTCCTCTGCAAGGGTATGGGGAGATACAGGGTGTCATCTTTAAAAATTTAAATGACAATTTAAAAAGAAATGGAAGGAGGGATTCATTGTAGCTCTCTGGAGATCATTCCATAGGCAGAAGCATCTCAGCTTGCTGGATGAAGAGTTTGGATTTGGATTTGATATCCCACTTTATCACTACCCGAAGGAGTCTCAAAGTGGCTAACATTCCCCTTTCCCTTCCTCCCCCACAACAAACACTCTGTGAGGTGAGTGGGGCTGAGAGACTTCAAAGAAGTGTGACTGGCCCAAGGTCACCCAGCAGCTGCATGTGGAGGAGCGGAGACGCGAACCCGTCTCCCCAGATTACGAGTCTACCGCTCTTAACCACTACACCACACTGGCTCCCCCAGTGGATGAACGATTCCCTGTCTTCTCCCCCCATGTGCTTTATCGGGGTGTGTGTGTGTGTGTGTGTGTGTGTGTGTGTGTTTCTCCCTAAGTGACTTGACGCCTGATTACTTCATTGACCATCTTCCACCAAATGTTCCCACCAAGTCTTAATATTCGCATAGGAAGCTTCAAGTTTCCCCACCTATTTTGAGTGGTTACTAGGAATTTGGCCTTTTTGTTGGTGATATCCTGTCTACAGAATGCCCTTCCCAGAGGGGCTCACCTGGTGCCTATGTTATTCTCTTGGGTGCTAGGTTAAGTCTCACAGGCCTTTTAATACGCTTTTAACTGTACCCCCAAAAAAAGACTTTGGATCTTGAATTAGAATTGTCCTTGTACGTGGGCTTATGCTGGTGCAAAACTTCCAGCTGCTGTTTTCATACTGTTTTAAATGTTTTGTATGGTTGGTTTTTCATGATGGGGATTTATTGTTTTTAACATGCTCTGAACTGCCTAGGGAACACAGCTGGATAGGTGGAATGAACAAATAAATAAATAATCAATGTTCCAGCAGGGATAATTACCAACAATTCCTTAGAAAAGATAAATATATTGTAGAAACTGGGTTAGTAAGTCAGTTATGTGAAATTTTGATTTAAAATGTTGACTGGTGTATAAACAGTACTAAAGTACAAACGAATAGAATCCGAGGGTCATACTTCAGTGTACTCAAATGAGCAAAACAACCTTTGAGATTAATACAGAAAGCCAACGACATAGGAAGTATAGGTGTATTTATTTAAAATGGTAACAGTGAGTGGTGTTTTAAAATCTTAGGTTTATTTTGCCTTTTGAAAAATTTCTGGCTCAGTTCCTTGTGCTCTCTCTCTTTGTACATTCCCTCATGTGGAACCTTCCAGAGACCACATGCCTGAGGTGAATGGGGCCAGAGCCAGAAGTCAGTAAAGCAATAGGCATGACTCTTACTTTTATACAATAGGCTGCATTCCACCCCTGCAAAACTCAGAGGTTTTTGCTTCCCCCCATCTCTCCATTCTCCAGCCAAGAAAGAAGCATTGTCTCGTTGCAAAGGCACATTCCAGACTGACAAAACCCCTTGAGGAGGATGTGGAGTGTGGCCAGTGAGGGGTATGGCCTGGGGAGGCAAGGGGGATAGTGGCAGTCCCAAGGGTCAGATAGGGAAACCTTGAGAGCTGTATTCAACCCCCAGGCACTTGGGTGTAGACAATATTGATTAAGTTAGACTGATGGTTTGACTAGTACTAGTTGATAGAGTGAATATAGGTCTGTGGGTAGACACTGTGTGCAAGCCAAAGCCTGTGGTGAGTATAACCACCTAGCTTATGGCTTTGGTGACTACATGCATCTCCAGCCTGTTATGGAGAGTTAGCTTCCAGTATCACATGCCCTTTTGAAGCAGTAGTGCTGGCATGGGAACTCATTATAGCCACAGCAAGACTGAGCCGTCTTGTAGAACAAGGATGTGGAATCACCAGCTTGTAGGCCAAAGTGTCCCTATCCTCATAGTCCTAGAATAGTGGTGTAGCAGAAAAAAATACTGTAGTCGTGAATGCAATAATTAGTAGTTCCAGAGAGGACATAGACCCGCAGAATTCTGTCAAGATGTAGCACACCTGACCTGCTACTGATTTTGCTGGCATATGTACATGTGTAGCCATTGTAGATATACAATGTGTAATTTAAATAATGGTTTATTTGCTGTGATGTGCACAATAAGGAAAAGAGTTCTTTGGAGTCCAACACGAGAGAGAATACGCTTGCTTATTCATGTTTCAAACATGGCTGGGAAAGTTAAGGAAATAAATATTAGCAAGGTAATATATGTGTTACCAGTGCTATTTCCAGACTTTAAAAAGCAGGCAGAAGAGATGACTTTGTTTTTTTTCTGCCCAGACCCTTAAGCATATGGGATCATCAGAAGTGAAAGTGAAAATAGCAATTCTACTATGATTTGTTTATGATTTTGTGGGTAGATATGTCAGATTACATCTAATATGCGATAACATCTTCAAGTTTTGCTTTGATTTGTTGTTTCCAACTTGCTTTGCCTTCTGCTGCCTTAATAGTGTCTCCACTGAGATTTCATTCTAAGTCTTTGGGCAGGGCTGACATCTTTAAACACGAAGCATCCAGTTTATATCAACTCATTAGTGCTATGTCACATAAATGTGCAAATAATTGATTTGGCAAGTTTCAAAGAGAAGGGTTTTCAACCCTAAAATCAACCTTTAAAACTTCTAAAATTGCTATAGGGGTTTCTACAGCCTTAATAAGAAAAGCCCGAACTATTTCTTCTTCTAGAATTGTCTTCTCTTCCACCACCTCTGAAATTATGGAAATTAGATGTTGCTACATGTGTGGTTCGGGCCTCCAAGTAATAATGCCAGTCTTTTTAAAAATGTTTTTAACTCATGAGTTGCATTCAGGCATCATGCTGGATGGAATGGTGGTTTTGTCCTGCAATAAGTAGTCAAGAGATGCTTCCTCTGATGTCCAACAAATAATTAAATTCAATCTTGGTCTCATCTTCGCTCATTGTTACCTCTTACATGCTTTCAGATATCATGAAAATAAGAGAAAGAGCCAGGCTCATGTCCTTTTGTCACCTCTTGCTTTGCTTATTCCTTTCTCTCATTGCTCACCTCTTGCCTCTTAATTTCCAAATGTCCATAACAGGCAGGGAACCAAAGGTAGGACCACTGGGGAGTCATGTCTCTTCCAGTGTGTTTCTGGATGTGGGGTCCAGTCTGAAATATCTGGATCTTGTACCTTCAGCATAATAGCTGAAGTTATTTTCCATCAGTAGACATAAATCAGCTCACCTTAAGCTGTGTTTTCACCCCCTCTATTCCTCTCCAGGCACCTTAGACCTAGGGGCTGAATGTAATCCTCCAGGCATCTCTGTCTAACCCCTGTGGCTTGCACCTTACTCATTGGTCCTGCTCTGCACCCTCCCAAGTACTTTTACCCAGCTAGAATGTGTTTATACTATGAAAACACTGCTTGCTTGTTTGCCTGGATGGAGGTGTGTATGTTTGTGTTTCATGCTCCTATGTAACAACCCAGTTTTCCCATCCAGTTTTCCCATCAAGTGTATGATCACCAGAGAACCATTACTAATCCAAGCTTTGGATGATGTTACCAGGAGGATATACTGGTACATGCATTTAAACACTTGCCTGCCACATTCACACTTTGCATTGTTAGGTGTGCACTTTAATTAAAACACACACACTTAACCGTGCTATTAAAAATGTAATGTGCAACTGAAGAGGCTTTAAGTAGGGGATGGTAAACTATATTTTTTACAACAAGCTTTAATTGCCTTTTTTCCTTTACAACATACAAATGCAATTATGAAGCATGCACTGACAAAAATGTACATGCTGTTTTTGTTCTATCTTGCATCAAGAACATTCACTCATGGTACAAGTAGCACAGCAGAGGTACAAAGATGTTTGGTGTTTAATGTGAAAACAGCATCAGTTTTGTCAGCACTGTGGAATTCTCTTTTATTTAAAATTACTTCCCACCAGAAGTGGCAAAGTGGATTGGCTCCTTTGTCACATTTTCCTCTCCAATGAAATGAATTTGGGAATCAACACAGGGGTCCAGACCAGTGGCTGAAAGTCACTGTACTAGTCACCATGTTGTTTAGTGATTAAACATAGCTGTACTTGGGTCTAGGCTGAAATGCCTGGTAGTAAGATAGATGAACAGCTGGCTAGAGCAATTAAAGTCAGAGCAGATATAGACCTTGACATCTTCATGTCTGCGGTACTGGATATATTACTGAGTTTTCCACTGGGAGGCTGAAAAGAAGCCCTTATCTTCTTCCTCATCTGATGGTCTGAGCACGTTCAGTTGGAAGCAAGTCCCCAGAATTCATAGAATTGGAAGGGACTCCAAGGGTCATCAAGTCCAACCCCCTGCAATGCAGGAATCTGAAAACCCGGTTTGAATCAGCACGTACATTGTGCATTGTGTTGCAACTAGCCCCTTGTCCCCCTCCCGCCAGCATACTCTTTCGAGGGCTAAACGTTCTATTTCTTCAGATTTACCCACTGGTTCCCAGTGGCTTTTGCTTTTTATATCTCGAGGTTTGCCTCTAGTTCGCCTATTGCTCATGATCAGCAAAATCACAAACCATCCCCCCTCTTCCCTGTTCCATTAATTCGCCAAGGACAATGCTCTCTTCCTGCCTAAGCTTTTTTGGCGACAAGGCTCGTCCTGCTACAGCCACAGATATTGCACGTCGCCCTGTCTAACGTCGGAGCCGTGCCCGTTTGCAAATGACATCATGCCAGGCCGACGACGATGCACGCCCACTTGTTGGAGACGCGCATGCGATGCCGGGCCAGAAATCCAGCCGCGCGTTTCTCCGAGCTGCCTGTAGGCGTCGCGGTGGGTAAAAGCCTCGCTTTCTGGGCGAGCTCTTGCGGCTCCGCTCTGCGGGCGGCAGGTGGCGCCAGATCCCGCCTAGAAGCCGCCGCCCCAGCTTGCGAGCGTTTGCGTTCCCGCAGGCTCGAGCTCCTTTCTCTTGCGCACTCGGTCCCAGCTTCGCCTTCAGTAGCATTTGCAAGCAGCCGGGCTGAGGAGCGAAGCGCTGTCCGTTCAGCACCACCTAGGCGAGAGCGCGGGGGGAGAGCAGAGCCAGCCCTTTTGCGCAATCCGGACAGAGCCTCCTTCTGAGAGCGCGGTGTGCCCTGCAGTAAGTAGCCAGCGCGGGAGACTGGCGGGCTCCGAGGTGGGTGGGCTGGGCTGGGCTGGGGGTCTTGCGTGGACGTTTGGCTCGGTCCTTCCGCTGGTGAAGCGCCCGTTCGCTTGTGTCTCTCCCGCCCAGCACTCCTGGCGCAGATTTATCTCCGGAGAAAACGAGGGCTTTCCGATTCCCTTCCTGTTAAAAATGCAGCCCCAGACGCAAGCGTGTCCATCCTCGAACGGCAGGCTCAGAACAGGGGGGTGGCTAAAAGAATGATTCTGATTAAACACCACACCCCAAGGGGTTAATGCAGCAGTCGTGATTAAAACAACAAGGCACAGCGCAACACACACACACGCATACACAAAAGCCCCAGGCCAGAACCACCCTTTCCTTGTGCAAGTCTCCTGGTTTCCTTGGATTTCTAACAAAGCAGCAAGGCGGGGTTCGCTCATCTGACATGATCGTGATTTATCGCTTTGCTTATTATGTTTGGATCTAAGCAAGGGGAGGCTTGATCTGGACTCTCTTGGAAGGCGGCTCAAGAAGCATGCTTGGTAATGATGTTCTGTTGTTTTAAATGGTGCCCAGAGATTGCTACCAAATGTGAGATGCTTCCCCCGCACCCACCAGTAACTTCCTCCAGTGATCTAGCAGAGACATTCAAATGGAAAGGAAGGGGTGATAGGCAAGGTTGATGGAAGCAAGGCAAAGCAACATCTCTCTTCCTTAATTTCCAGTTTTCTCCCTCCCTCTTAACACTAGTCGTCTCTATATGTTTTTAGGTCTGGAAAGTGAGGTCTAAGGATGGTGAAACTTGGGAGCAATTTGAATGACAAGAACAAGCAGCAGCCGTCCAATGAGGATGGCTTTCAGACGGTTCCATTGATAACACCCTTGGAAGTAAATCATTTGCAGTTCCCAGCTCCGGAAAAGGTAAATGGAACAGAACAGAACAAAACAGGAGCAGGCAACACTGTCTTCCCACTAGTTTGTTCTGTTGTCCCTTGGAAGCTTTTTTTTTTTTTTAAAGCACAGCTATGGTTCCAATTAAATGCTACCTTATAAAAAGGGATTGACTGTTTCCTGTGTGTTTGTGTGTGTGTGAGAGAGATTTAAAGCCCAGCAGACACACCACCTAAACCTGGGAAATGGTTCGTGACTGAAGTCTTCAAAATGGCAGAGTCTGTTCAACAGATTATTCACTCAAATTTAGTGGGGGAAGAAATAAAGCTGCGTCTGATCCACTAAAGTGATTTTATGAATCATTGTGTTCTGTGCCTGCTCTGAGATTGTGATGATTTGGGGTGTTTTATTTTACAATTCTCAGGAGTGTGGTTAATATCTGCAATCCATATTGGTTATTCAATATTACACTAACCTTCTATAGATGAGCAGGTAAAATAATGCAGAGGGTCATTCAGTGCCTTCATCTCCTCCCTCCCCCATAAATGGGCTTCTGGGAAGTGATCGCTTTTGTGAAACTCATAATCAAACCTCGTAGCTTTCGACTGGCATGCTGAAAAGTGGGCATCATTGATTAGCTTTGCATCGACCTGTTATCTTTATATAGCCTGTTTTGTATTCCATACACATGGTTAACTCCCAACTGTACTGTATTTGGAGAGATAATGCAATGCCATCAACACATCTCACCATAATACTGTGTGCCCAGAGCATCTATGTAGCATTAATCCTTATTGGGAAAAGAGAGCCACTGCAGTGCTGCGTCTTTGTATTTTAATGAAGTATATACAATACAAAGAAGGTGTTGCCCTCATGCAGTAACGACAGAGTAAATACATTTGATTCTCAAATTGCACATGTCATAAATGTTCAGAAAAAACATGTTGATATGGGTGATGTAATGCTAATATATCTGTTGGCAAATAGAAAAGGGGAAAGGTGCAAGCGACTGGGCTCAATTACTTCAGTAAAATCAGACTTGTGGCAAAAGACTGTAATATGCCTAGTGAATCATTATAACAATATAGAGGAACTCCACTGGGACTGTATTATGGTAACTGAGGGAGGACTGAGTTTGGTATAAGCAAGGAGAGATGAAGACAAGCTGAGCACCCGCAATTTTGGTTGCAAGAAGGTATAATCCAAACTGATTTCTCAGAAGCAAAGAACACACAGCTTGCAAGATGAGTGTTTGTAGTGTGGTGTTAAACTTCTGGAAGTAGGTCTGACATTGGGGTTTAGAACTGAATATTTCTTTTCTTTTCTCATATTTTTTTTTTAAAAAAGGAAGAGGGTTGCTTCCTAAGTGCCAGTTTTTGGGAGTTGTTCTTTTCCTGTTGTCGCTGCAAAATAAGACTGCAATTCTTTCTCCGTCCTCTACCTCCCAAATCGTATAAACCAAGGCACACATTTTGCCAAGTAGATTAAACATTTCAACAAAAATAAAATAAAAATGTGGAAATGCAAATCTGCCCCTCCCCCCTTCTTTCCTTTTCCAAATGAAAACAGTTCCTCTGAATTCCACAGGAGTAGCCTAGTGACTGACACATCAGTTGTAGCATGTAGGCAAGAGCCTGTCTGCTTCATCAGGGGCATGAAGTGGACTGTCTCCCTGTCCTCTTCAGATATATGATATGAATAAAACCCTTGCCTGTGAAATCAATTTGCTGTAGTTTTGCATGAACCTAAATGGTTGGTTCACCAAAAAGCATGTTTTGCCTGGGGCTTCAAGGTCCAGCGAGTAGCATTAGCAAATCATTTTATCACCCTCATCACTCCATATCTCAAAATGGGAAGAGGAGGCAACTGCTGCTAGCCTGGCTCTATTTAGGCAAAAGCTCTTGGACCAAGTGGATGAACCAGATCTCAGAACTGCAGCCTGTTGTAGGTTGTGCAGCCCCAAGATCTGGCAGGCAAGCGCTTAAGCAGGTATACACAGGGGGATGGAAAGCTGCAAGGTCAGCATGGACGACAGCAGCTTAAGTAGAGTCTAGGGAGCTAGGCTAAAATAAGTTGTTGCACAAGCAACTGCTGGGTTCACACTGACCACCTTCATAAAGCTGCAGCTCAGCTGTGTGATTGATGACAGTGTGAGTCGAGAGCTGAATCAGAGTCTTCATTTAACATTTGCTGCCTCATGGGTGGGTCAGATTAATTTGGCCTCCAGGGCGTGTAAGGCACAACATCCTGGTTGTTGCTGTTGTGGTGGTGATGCTTTTTGGAGGAGCGAGAGGGATCTCATGGTTTTGTGATGCAGAACCACGAGGTTTGGGGTGGGGGATGCTGTTCGAGGGAGACGCACACCACAGTGCAACTAAATCCTCATGGTGTGAGGACTCAGTATCTGTTGAGGAACCAGCAAGCTAAATAGTGTGGAAGGCTGTTTTGGAAACCCGACTAATGTCTCAGATAAAGCAATTGTTTTATCATTACTTTCCCAAACCCTTTTGTCTCATTCCAACAATTTCTTCCGGTCCTGAACGCATCAACTCATGTAAGGGCAGCTCACCTTCTATTCGATTGGCAAGGTGGACAGCAAAATAAGATCACACTTGAAGCTGGCCCACCTACTAGGATGGAAAGAGAACTTAAATTACCTTGGAGCTCCACATGCATCTTTGAGCACATGTGGAGCTTTTGACCGAGGACTGAATAATAATGAACAGTCATGATGATGATGCTAATAACAACCAGCATTACGTTGTTGTTATACTTTAAATTTTCATATCAAACAACTAAGAAGCTTTTAGTGAAAAAAACTTTCTCTCCTTTAGTGACAGCACAAGGCAAAACAAGGTGTTAGATGTGTCACATTTTATTATTTTAAACAAATTAGCAGGTGTTTCTGCTTGAAAATGCAAGAAAACCTCCCATTATGTGCAGCCAGGCCACTGAATTTTTTTATACTGAAAAAGAATACTGTTGTACTGAAGTACTGTAGAAGAATACTACTGAAAAATCATTTGAACAGTATGGATCCGTTGTCTGCTTCCCCACTCAATGTGACTTCTGAGAATAAATGTGCTATTCTCATGCAACCCTTCCATGGATGTGTAGTTAATAAGTAAATATTTCTTACAGCCAGTTGACAGAGGTTTCATATGTAGGAGCTATAAGTAAGAGGTCAGCTCTTAAAAATACTGAGTATTTCAAAATAGGTTGTGGGATGCTCTGGCCCAAACTATAACTTACTTAAAATGGATTAAATTGATCATAGGCACTTGAATGGTGAGTAGCCAAAGAATAGTAGCTGAATAAAATGATGATGGAATCACCACTGTACATTCTAATTGTTTCCTTTTCTTTTGATAGATCTGAAATTGGTCAGTGTTGGAAACATGTTAGTAGGTGAGATAGACTTAGCTAAGTGTAGCTCTTATCTATGGGAACTCTGGAGCTGATTGGAAGCACATTGGTTTGTTTTGTATTGAGTGTGGATTGGTATCAGTTGCCCAGAAGACAGATCCTTAAGAAGTTCCTATTAATTAAATGAGGCTTTGTTTGAGAAGAGGTTAAGTAAGGAAGGAATTTTTCCCCAACTAGAAAATCAGCATGTCCTCCAGCAACCTGTTGATGCCCATGAGGGTTTTCCTGTAGCTGAACTACAATGACCTTTCCAAATTCTCCATGCTATTTGTGTGTGTGTGGCAAAATTTTACGCATGTGGTTAGGGGCATATTTTCCTCAGAAAACTCTTACAAGAAATTTTGCTCAGGGGTAGTGCACATCTGCTTGGGATGCAAAAGCTTCCAAGTTCAGTGTGTGCCATCTCTCGGGACCAGTTATCCAGTGATGGGGAAATCCTTCTCCCATGACCCTGAGGAGCCATTCCTAGTCCCAGCAGGACCAGATGGGCTAATTCTTGGACCTGATCATAGTCTTATGTTCTTGCCTCTGTTCCTGTAACCACGTTCCTGTTCTGCAGAACTCATAATTCATCTATTTTCCAAAATCCATCCCTCTTGTTCTGACACATCATTCTGTACTTTTTAGATAACCTGGGTTTCAAGTACAGAATATGTTAAATAATAATAATAATAGCAAAGCAGAGATGTGTATGTTTGCTTAATTTCCACAAAGGATAGTATTGGCTGATGCAAAATGTTTGTATTTTTGAAGGAGCTCTGTGTGCGAGCCAAGGTGGGGTGGGGCCTCTCTCACCAAGGCCTCCCTTTTCTAAGCTGTGTGCTGAGCACTTCTTTCTCCTACGTGTGTCACTGAGCAGCAGCCTTCGGTGGACATTTTGTGAGCATTTGCACATGAAGATGTGAACAAAAATGTGGCAGCCACAGAAGGAGTAGAGAAGAGAAAATGTGTGCATGGATGTGAGAAAAGAAAAGGGGGTGGTGGTAAATGAGAGAAAGGCAGTGGTTTGTTTGGGTTGCAGGGTTTTTGCTTTTGTTTCCCCAGTGATAAGTGTTTTCTCTTTTCAATTTTCCCAAACAGCCTCCTTAAAATGGTACTTTAAGGTTTCAGTTCTATATCTGCTTTCCCGGGAGTAAGCACCTTTGAACTCAATGGGGTTTACTTCAGAGTAGACTTGTGCTCTTAGAATGTGCTGTTAAAGCACTTGTTGAGGTTTCATAATCTCGCTATCTATCCTGACGATGTGCTTTGTAAGCTTTTCTTTCTTAGAAACCCAGTGTTCTCCCAGGCTACTAGCCTATTGTAAATGTGTGCAATAAATTGGGTTGAGCATTATCCCCATGGCACTTCTGAATGTGGATTTTAGCTGATGAACCCATTTTTCATCTTGTCTTAATGGGGATTTTTACTGCATCCTTCTTTAGCTCTCCCAGTGAAATTGTGACAATCCAAAAGGCATTTAAACAACTTCAAGGATTTTGTTGCAGAGCCAGAGCCAGTGGATACCGTTTGTTAGAGGCTGTTATCCAGTGGGTTTGTTTATGGATTTTTCAGCTAGGCTTATTTATGGGTTAATGCAGGTGTGGGAAACCTCCAGTTGTGGGCCAAATTTGGCTTGACACAGTCCCCAGTTCAGATTGTGAGGCTGATTAATGCAAACCATGCCCACTTGCCCCACACCTGGTGTCATATATGATTGTCAGATGCAGGGCAGGTGGTAGAGACGCAGCTGATCTCAGCAGAAAGCAGGGTTGAAGTCACCACCCATAAGCATCTGGGTTATGAGTTCGAGCCTACTGGCTTGTCTGCATGACTGAGTTTCCTGCAGCTGATTCAACCAGAAAGCAGCTTTGCCAACCCTGTGGGAAGTACTAAGTATCAGTCTAGTGAAGGGTTTCCCAGATGGGTCTCCAGCTGTTTTTGGACTACAATTCCCATCATCCCCGACTACTGGGCTTGCTAGTTAGAGATGTTGGGAGTTGTAGTCCAAAAACAGCTGGAGACCCAAGTTTGGGAAACACCTGTCTGGTGGTTCAAGTGTTGGGACCTGGAAGACCAGTGTTAAAATCCCACCTCAATTGCGAAACTACCTGGGTGATCTTAGGACTGTCATCTCTTAGCCTAACCTGCCTCATGTGGCCATTGGCAGGATAAAGTGGGGGGAGGGGACACTATGTATGCTACCCAAAACTCATTGGAGGAAAAGTTGGGATTGAAATGAAATAAATCATAGGGAAAGTTGCCAACAACTGAGTCCACCAGAGCTTTGTTTTTAATGGAGAATTAATGAGAGCAGTGCTCCATGAATTTTGTGTTCCGGTTGTGTGTCCTTTGCTTTGGTGGCATTAAATGTCAATACATTGTGATGATAAATGACCAATTCCTAGCTGATTTGCAACATACACAGGCAGGCCTGTGCAAGCAGTTTTCTGACACCGGTGGGTCACAGTGGAGCATGGGTAAATGCATGACAGACTGGAGAACAGAACAAATGGGCCTGCCCTCAAAAGCTTCGTAGACCTACCAGTGTTCAGTTCCAGGTTTTGATGGATAAGCAATGGGCTCTTACTCATTGGGCCTCATTCCCCGAGTGCCCCCAGCTCCTTATCTTCACCCCTGCTGCTGCGGTGGCACCCATTCACTTGCTTGCCTCCGTCCTCTGGGCCCAGTCCATACCACATTCCAGAGGGAAAGGGGTAAGGAGGGGAGCAAGGGCTCCTTTCCCTCACTTCCCTCAGAGAGCCAGATGAACTAGCCAACAGCAAATGACCACTTTGAAGACAGCATGTGTGCTCAGATATTTCCATTCAACTGGAGTTGGTCTGAAGGAGAAGGTACACAGTGTACTCAATGTGGCTCTGTGACTGGTGGAACATGCAGCACATGGCACCAGTTTCTCCTTTGATTCCTCCTAGGAGACGAGGAATCTGCACTTTGACTTCAAAGTATTGCTTTTTATATCCCCTGTTTGTTTAAGATATAGGAGCATTATTATGTTTTATTCAAAAGGATAGTGTCATTCTGGTGGTGTTCTCTACACTACAGGTTCAAATGCACCAGGCCCCATATAGACTTTAGGTTTCATATTGCTTTCTGTCAGATTAGGAAGGCTCTCTGCACATGCCTGGAGGTATTCAGTGCTTCATTTCATTTTTAATAGATCCTGGGGCTGGATTCATCTAATGAGATCCACCAGCATAAATGTTCTGCTAGTGCAGTAGGGCTTTTTTGCCCCTTCTCTTTGTCTCACGTGCCCCCTGCCCCCCAATTGGCTTTGGGGTGTGTGTATCAAGGGAAACCTCAGAAGAGTGCATGGGAGGAGGAGAGGAGAGATAATTCCATCTGGGAAAATGAAATGCTTGCATTGATGGAACCATCTCCTTAGTGCTCTGCTGAATTCCTTCTGGTTTTCCTTCACATTGGAGCAACATTCTGTTCACGTTCAGAGGAACTTTGCTCTCCTGGTGTGTGTGTGTGTGTGTGTGTGTGTGTGTGTGTGTGTGTGTACACACACACACACACACACACACACATATTGTTCCCTATGGGGGAAATATTTTGTTTGTGCCCATAGGCATTTTAGCTTGATATACTGAGTTGGCAAACCTATTCATAATAGCAGCCAGAGGCACATGCATATTTATTATGAGAAATAGATGTGTGCTTGGTTCCCTTGAAAGCAAGAAATTGCTTTCTCTGAGGGCCAGGTGAGATGTTAATTAGGTTGGATTCATTCCAACTAGAGAGGGCTCCATTTCATCCCCTGCCCCAACCTTAGCACATGCTCCTGATAGTGTGGGTACTTCAGGACTGCAGTTAATGGAAGAGCAGGCCTCAAAATGGCCAATAATGCCAGTGCTAAAAAGTACACAGTGACGTAACTTGTGAAAAAAAGAAAAAGAAAACTGGTATCCTAGTTACATATTAATGATGACTGCTTATACATGAGCTGCTACCCCTCAAAAAGAAACCTTGAATAACTCACTGAATGTGATAGCTCAATGTGTTGCAGTTGCCAGAAACCTGAACAAGCTGTTAGGAACAACTGGGGGAAAAATGTCATTAAAATAATCAAAAGGTGCTTCTGCTATAAACTGCTAAGGTACCCGAGTATTTTTAACCTGAAGTAGGAATGGGGGATCCTGGTGTGCTACAGATACTGGACTACAACTCCCATCATCTCTGACCTGCTGGCTAAGGCTAATGGGAGTTGGAGTCCAACAACATCCGGAGGGACAGAGTTTCCTCATCCCTGACCTAGAGCCAACCAGTTTTAAGAGGAGATAATAAAAATGAGAAATACTGACATACTGGGGGATAATAGTGAATAGAAACCAGCAGTTTCCTCTTTCACAATACAAGCATTAGAGGGCCAGTGCTAATAATACACAACAAAAATACTCCCACACAGGTTAATAGCATGCATAGCATGTATAGCTTATTTCCCCAGGGTGCAGCCTATAGCAAACTGGAGCGGGGGGGGGGGGGGGATAAGTCTGAATAAATCCATAGGAAAGAGGAATAGTTAGCAGGGGTGGACATTCTTGCGCTTAAAGTATCTCTGCATGTTAGAAAGTCCTATCAGAGTGTCCTCCTGTCGTTCCTCTATCCCTGCTTTCTTATGTCTGTCAGCACTTCCTGTCAGACTCTAACAGCCAATTGTGGGCGCAGGCAAAAATGGCTCGCTTGATGTTATAGTGATGGCAGGTGAATGACAAGTGGGTGGCCCTATGGTGTGTGGGGGAGACAAGGAACCAGCCCACTGGCTGTATCCAGTTCCCTGACACTGTGTTAGGGAACTGATGGACCAATAGGTGCTTCACCTGACTCTGCGGTTCTGTCTGTACATTGCTATGCAGACAGAAAACATTTTCTTTAAAAAATGGAGATTCTCCCTGCAGCATACAAAGCATGGAGTCATGTTTCAGAATATGGAACTGTGGATTTGGAAATTGAAGTATTGTGTGAGGCAATGCCTTTTCATACCAAGAACTTCAAACTAGAGGTGATGGGATTGTCTGCGGCCAGCTATAGATATGCAGCAGAAGGACTTGGTGGGATGCTGAGATGACAGAGTGGACTGTACCACTTCTGGCTGCAAAAGGGTGGTGCAATTTTGTAATACTTCCCTGACATCAAACACATGCACCCATCCTCCTCCCTGCACATAGCATATCAGGGAGAGAGAGTCTAGCATAGCCACCTCCTTTCTGTGTTTATCTACTCGCAGGAGTCAAAGCCTTGATTTCAACTCCACTAGCAGTCTCAAAGGAATATGGTCCATCCTCTCAGGACTCCACCACCTCATCCTCTTGTGCATTTAGATCAGGCCTGAGACTCTCTAGGAATAGTAACAGCCATTTTGAAAACAACTCATATGTTCTGTCACTCAGACCTACATAAGAATATAGGAAGTTGCCTTGTACGGAATCAGACGATTGGTCCATTCAGCTCAGTATTGTCTACACTGACTGGCAGGCTTTCAGACAATGACATCTCCCAGTCCTACCTGGAGATGTCAGAGATTGAACTGGGAATCTTCTGTGTGCAAAGCAGGGGCCATGAAGCTATTTGGGGGCTAATGATGTGGGTAGGACTGCTTTTGTATTAGTCTCCCTTCCCTTGAAGCACAAATGTCTTTCAGTAAAACCATAAGGGTTTTAGCATTCCGCTAAGGAGATGTTCCACCCGTGCAAGCATTTCAGCTTTTGGCTGTGCTGGAGGTTCTCCCAATCCCCTCAGAGCCAATTCCAGGGGTGCAGGAGGGGTGCAGTGTAGGGAAGCCCCATTGTGCAGGTGGAGGTCCTGGTGCAGGGCTTTTGCTGATGGGGCTCATTAGGTATGTCCCATCCTAAGGCTGGTTATGTTTAGCCTGTAAAAAAGTGGCTGAGAGGAGATATGATAGCCATCTTCAAATAGCTTAAGGACCGTCTCATGTAAGATGGAGCAAGCTTGTTTTCTCCTGCTCCAGAGGGTAGGACCCAAACCAATGGCTTCAAGTTACAAGAAAGGAGATTCCGACGAAACATCAGGAGGAACCTTCTGACAGTAAGAACTGTTTGTCAGTGGAATAGACTCTCACAGGAGGTGGTGGCGTCTCCTTCCTTGGAGGTTTTTAAGCAGAGGTTGGATGGCCGTCTGTCATGGATGCTTTTTAGTTGAGATTCCTGCATTGGAGAGGGTTGGACTAGATGACCCTTGGGTCCCTTCCAACTCTATGATTCTTTGCTTGTTCATCAAAAACCAGATGCAGCAGACACATAGCATTCTACTTAATAGAGTTTTCAGAGTTTAAAAAAGCAGCATGGAATTAGGTCCAGAGAAGACCACAGTATCTGTAGTCACATATTAGATTTCACTTCTATTTGCTGCAATACTAAGCTGCTTATAAGGAGTTTCTATATGTCCATGGGCTCTTTCTATGCTGCTGTAATATAATTCGTGTCCCATGCCCAAAGGGTTGGATTATTCTGAGGCTTCTGCAATTCATGATAATTCGGGGACTCGTGGCTTGCCCCATCCCCTGCAATGAGGCAAACCCTGCTAGACCTGAAGATGCAGTGTCTGGAAAATAATGAGTCGTCTTTTTCTGAAATAAGCCTCCTCCAGCAGTTAAGACTGCAGCTTCTGTGGGCACTAGCCAATTGCTGATATAGGTTGTAGTCTTGTGTGCAGTTCAGTCTCTGTCAATTCACTACCTTCATTATAAACTGGACCTCTTGGTGTGTAGCTCAGTTGCACACTGCAGTCATGGGCCATGAGCAATGGATACATGAGTGTGTGCTTAACTTTCTCCTGTTGAAACTTTGCTGGATCATGTTATAGCTAGGAAGACACTTCCCTGGAGTTTAAACCCATTGCATCTTGTCCCTGGCAACAGAGAGGACAAAATGATGCCTCCATCCTGCCAAGGAGATTCATGTGTGGAGCAAGCATCTGACTGACTGCCACATCTTGCATTATGATCTGTGGGTGTGAGAAAGCTGTGCATCATAATATACATCTGATTGTGCATTGGGCATGAATGCTTACTCCCCACATGCCATAGCTTTCAATGGGATGTGCATTTTGAAACCATCGTCCCCCAGTACATATTCAAGTACAATTAGTCATGTATCAAAATACCCTTTTACCTCATGGTTAGATCAAAGTTGTTTATTCTATGAGCTTTTCAGTGTTCGCGGATTGTCGATGCTTGACTTAAGAGATAGCAAACATATAACATCATGAAATAGTATTACTTCCCCTATCTCAGAGGGGATGCATTTCTGATAATGTGTTCTGATAACAGTATTTTTCTTACTGGCAGCAACAGTTCAGTTTTTTGTCCAATAGAATCCTCCTCCCCTTCAAAAAATAACACGAAAAGCTATTTTGTTGTGTTATCCCTTCGGTTTGTGGTGGAAAGCTTCATTCACCCTTACCCATCCACACCGGTCCTCTCACAGTCTGTGTTTGCATTTGTTTTTGCTGATTTCTATATATTGGTTGGAGCCAAAGTTTCCAGTTTGCCTTCATAGAATCGTAGAGTTGGAAGGGACCCTGAGGGTCATCCAGTCCAGCCCCCTACAATGCAGGAATCTTGACTGAAGCATCCATGACAGAGGGCCATCCAGCCTCTGCTTAAAAACCTCCAAGGAAGGAGAGTCCACAACCTCCCAAGGGAGACCGTTCCACTGTTGTTCAAAACGTCAGTCCATCTTCCCATCACCAGTCCTGATGGGTTTACTTTCTGTGGTTTTAATAAACGTATGTGGTTCATAAAGATGAGCTGTGCAAGTAAATAGATTGCCTTTTAAATTTACATATAATGACAGCTGTTCTTGGGAAGAGTTGTAGCTCGGTGGTAGAGCACTTGCCTTGCAGGCAGAAGGTCCTTGGTTCAGTCTTCAGCATCTTTGGGTAGGGCTGAGGAAAAGCCTTTTCTGAAACTCCAGAGAGCTGCTGCCAGCCAACTGTTCAGATCTGGGGGGACCAACAGACCGAGTCACTAGAACGCTGCTTCCTATATAAGCTGAGTATGTACATGAATCCATGAGGGCATGTTGGTCAGGGGATGTTTGTGTTGTGTGCCTCTATAAATCTGGCTCTGGCTCAGATGGAGGATTGATTCATGGACTCACTTTTCTCCCATCATAAGGCCTTTTTTTTGTAACTACCCCTTCATGAGTTCCATGTGGGACTGGGCGTTGTGAAGAATTCAGCATACACTCAGTTTTTCCAGACATCATGCATTATCAGAGGGATAAGAAACTCCCGTTGCTTCCTGCCGCCGAGGAAATGCATTAATAAAAGGGCTTTGAATTATTTTATTTTTGGGGGTGGGTAAGTGAATTACTTCAGTATGAGAAATGGAAGGGATGAAAGCTAGGGAGTGGCAGCTTCTCTGCAGAGATTTATAAAGTAGTGTCGTCTAGATATTCTAGATGTCAACATAGCACCAAGCATTGATGGGCTCTTCATAACATGGAAATGTCCACTGTCTCTGCCTAGTAAGCACATCTGCATTGGATGGAGAAGACTGAAGGAGAGATCAAGGTCAGGGAACATCACATGGCAAAGAGAAGGCAGGCAAGATGAGGCTAGGATAATCCAGGCAGGGATTTGTTGTTAGAGAAGCGGGTTTCTAGAGAAATAACATGGAGGAGAAAAAGGAGAGTGAGCAAAAGAGATCAAGCCTGATGGAGAGAGAAGAAGAGGCTGTTCTAGGCAGAGGAAGTGCAGCCTGGCAGATGGCATGGAGACTCAGGGGATCAGAGAAATGACATTGAGAGCAGAGGAGTGACTGAGAAAGGCAGGGCCACCCCAACATATTTTGTTGGGGGTGGAAAAGCCCCCACTCCCTCAAGTTTAGATAGCACACACAAGACTACAAGACTACAAAGACTTTATTTGCGTAGCCAACAGGCCATAGCATCAAAGGACAAACACCGACAAAAATACATTACAAATATAGTTACCATATAGTCAAGTTTAGATACCTAGGACCCAATGTCAGCCAATATATTCTGGCATCCAACAAGTACCACTCATACTTCCGGACAATAAAAATAAAATAGCAACATTATTTGCTGCTCATTCATGACACCCCAGATTGGTTGTTTGAGATGCCTGTCTCACTCTGTCTAATGATAGGCCTGGCCTGAAAGAAGGGGTGTAAAAAGAAGTGGGAAAAGGGATGCAGAGCTGACCCACAATGCTGATTCAGACTGCAGATAGTCTACTACTATAAATTTGAATGCTCTCTTCTTACAAAAACATACTGCCTGTGAAAAGCTCACATGCCAAGGGTCAAGTCTTTCTACAGGCAAGAACAGCTTGATGTAGGAAAGCATTTCAAACACTCTGTGTGAAGTGATGTAGACTCCGGAGTGGCAGTACTGTGTGACACTCTTGAATGTATAGTTCAGCCCATAGCAAGGGCTTGAGAAGGGGAATGCTATAGGACTCAAACTTTCATGTCAAGTGTTACAAAAAGATAGTGAAAAGACTTAAGGAGCTGAATGACATGGTCATAGTAACTGGAGAAAAAAAAGCCTAATAGGTACTTTCTGAACCAAACTGGAGTACAGATATTTGGCAGGAGGGAAGGACAGTTAGGAAGATACCCCAGGAGGTTTGGTAGGCAACCACAGCTTGGACACAGGCTTTATTGGCCAACAGTAAAAGAGAAGTGTAGCTATTGGAGATGCTTGAAACTACAAATCTGGTGACTGAATGGACATGGGAGAAGGGAGGTCATTCATTGATGAATCTCAGGTTGTTTGACTCAAATGGTAGATAGATGACTGTCTTATTCATAGAGAAGGGAGGGATTGGTTGAGGAAAACCATAAGTCCTGTTTTGACCTTCTTCAACTGGTGACATTGATGGAATATCTAAAAAGAAATCTCTAGAAATTTCTTTGCATACCATGTGAAATATTCTCAGAACTTCCAAATGTTACTCAGAATCAGGGATCCACATTTCCTGCTCCTTGAACTTCTGGTACAGTATGTCACGTGGGACCTCATGCATCTCCCATGCGGTATGAGTTGCACTCACATTGGATAGGAGATGCAGGAATTTCACCTTCAGATGTCACACTAGGAAGATATGAAGAGGAAGACTGAGACATTTGAGCACATAAGGAGATGCTACTTAGTTTGGCTAGAGGAAAATCACTGGAACCAACAAGCAAGTGAGAATGGCAAAAACTAGACAGAAGAGGTTCAAGGTGCACGTTGGAAGATAATATATTATGGCCATGGTTGTGGATAGGATATATGAAGGATTTAAAGGTGAAATGAAAGATGACGTTGGTTTGTTTGTGTACTTCTTTTCAGCCCAAAGTGGTAAAGATTGGGACAGCATGGCAGCAGCAGAGAGAGTCTGTTGTTTCTTTATTCCAGATGGAGGAAGACAGAAGCATGTTTGAAAGCAGAGAGGAAGGAGCCAGCAAGCAGGAGGAGAGTAAAGATGAGGGTGAGATGGGGGTGGGGGTGGAGACGGAGGCAAAGAGAAAGGACATTGCATTTTAATACAGCATTTTACTATTTTATGCTTCTGAGCTGCCCAGAGAACAATGCCATTGGATGGCTTATATAAATGCCACAAATGAATAAATAATAAATGCAAGCTTCAGGGCGAAACTTAACTATGTATCTAAAAGACGGGTGCAATCCTATACATGCTCTCTCAGAAGTAATTCCCCCTGTGCTCAGCAGAGCTTTTCTTCAGGAAAGTTTGTGTGTAGGATTGCAACCTTGAGGGAAAAGTTATGTAGGCTGTCTCTTGACATCCTTCTGTGGGATTCTGAAGGTGAAATTCAGGTGACCTCTCCCTCACTACCCCCAAGCTGGGCACAATAAAATCTAGAGTCCAGTTTGGCCACAATGACTGTCCTTGCCACAGAGATTGCAGCTGGAGAACAACAGAGACATGCAGCCCTTTGCGAAAGCAACATGAGCTTTGAATATAGAGTTAGATGAGTCAGAATTCACCAACAAAATGTATGAAAACCCTTAGTTTGCTTTTCTCGTTCCTGCTCGGGGAATGCCCTGACCGTGAGCTTTGGAAGAGTGCACAGGCCAATCCTGAACCTGGAAGCAATCAATCTCCTTGGCAGGAACAATGTGTTTTATTTATCAGTCTTGCCAATCCCCGGGACTCCTGCAGCGAGCGAGACTTTCTATTATTAATAATCCCGAGGAGCAGTATTTTAAAATTTCATGATGTGCACTTTTTTTGCACCACCTGACCTACAACATATTATATACTCCTTGGCGGCAAAGCGAGAATTACATCAGGGCTACATATCCTTTCCTGAAATGAATAATTTAGGAGCATTCACGATGCCCAGCTCTGTTAAATGTTATCGCTCTATCCTGGGCAAAGAAGGAAGGGAAGAGTTTTAAGTGCAAGCATAAATGATCCTGGATTTCCTCATGTGATGGAAGGATTCTGAATAATTGCAAATCAGAGTGCTGGGTCTTCTTATTCTTCAACATGGAAAGCAAGCTATTGTAATCCTTTTTAAAGGTCTCCTATCTTCTTTTACTCATTTGGGTTTCCATCAAAGGGCTATCAAAGGAGCGTCCTTGTTTTGACCTAGTTCATTGGTCGATTAGTACTGTTGCTTTTTAATTGGGAGACTTCTCCAAGGCCTCAGAGCTCTTTCCCAGCCCTGTTAGCTGAGAGCTTTCAAGTGGAGAATACGAGAAAGCCATTTCCCTTCCCCGGGGAAATGGAGTTGCGGGCTGGACACGATCCCGCCCCGTGCGCGGGGGTGTGGCTAGCCCCTGCATCATAGGGAGTCCCCCCTCCATGACGCATCCTAGGCCAACCAATCCGGTTGGCCAGAGGGCATGGCGTGCAGCATTTAAAGCAGCCCGCGGGTGGGAACTCGCCCCCTTTTCCTGGTTCGAGTTGGTTACCATCGACGGGGCTCCCCCTACTGGTGGTTAACCTTTCTGAGACTTCCTGCAGGTGGGCAGGAGTCAGATATAGTCGGTTCGGTTCCAGTGCCTAAGCCAATACCACTCACTTTTTGTACCCAATAAAGTTGCGGCCCTTTTTAGCCCATTAACCTAAAATATTGGTGTCAAGTGTCTTTATTCTAACATAGGGGGAGGGTTTGGGGCCTTGCCATACAATTGAGCTCATTCCTACAAAGCTGGTGATCTGCTGCTAGTCGTGGGGCAAACTGCCCCCCCCCCCGTCAGAACTGAGCTCAAAAACTCAAATATCTCCCCTCCACAAAGCTGGAAAATAGCATATTTTATTCTGAGCCCAAATCTGAGCCAAACACTCTTAACCACCCCCTGCTCCAGACTGCTGTTCTATTGTGGGTGTACGAAGTAATATGTTGTGGTCCTAGGCACAGTGCCCCCCCTACTTCTATGTGAGGTGTGGAAACCATGTGCTGCCAGCCTTTTAAGCCTTGCTGCCAGACTGGGCAGGGCGACAGCCGATGCTTGGCCAGCCAGCAAGGTACCACCCTCCACTGGGGCTTCCTTTTGGCCCATTCACATTTGCCCTCTTTGGTGAGAAGACCGCTCCTTGCTACCACCGGCCAAGGGGAATTCCACAACAGTGGCTGGCAAGTGAGCAAGTTCAAGTTGCCGGGGACGAAGGCAGAGCACAAGGAGGCCGCAACTATTGCCCCCCGTAGATACATTGAGCGGCCATTGTTGATGCATTAATAGTTCACTTGAAGTGGATTTATACTGGATTGTCCAGAAGTCACCCCACAGTTGTTCTGCGATGCTCCCCCAGTGTTCCTGCATTATTGCAACAACACTTCATTGTCTGTGTTCCCTCACTGCAACTCCCCCACTTTAAGCTACCGTACTGTCATTTGTGTACTTTTTATGCTTTTATGGCCAGGCTGTGGTTGCCTGTGCTAAAGCATTGCTCATTTCCACAAAAATATCCCCCTCTGGGGGATATTTGGCATCATCAGGAAGCATGTTGGAATAGGTTAGAAGCAGATACATTCTGGCACCTTGCAGAGGTGCTCTTATGCTATGGTGCAGTAAAAGTGGGACTCTAAAGAGAGCTGGAACAGTTGTAGCATAAACAGTTATGGGATTTTAGCAGGAAACCAAGGGGCACATCTCAGTGGAAGCTGAAGCCATATAACCACCCTGAAGTTTTTGCAGGTACAAATGGCATTGAAAGTGCGATTGCATACAGCCACTCTGATAGCATCATGAGCACAAATGATAATGCACAATAAAAAGAACATCTGGAGGGGCCCTTAATGTAATAAAAAACACAAAGGAGAAATCTTTGCATGGTGGAACGTTCTTAGAGCACCATGTTGCATACAATCCATAGTTCTGAGACCATGATGTAGGTATAATTTAGCAAGTTGTGGAAAGGAGAAAGGAGAGGTTGCCTGTGAAGGATCCAGGGTGGAGTGAGACTTGCCAGCCCCTCTGGGATTGTTGGTGGGAAGGGCAGAGGAGTGCAGCTTCAGAATGAGATTGAAGTACATGCCTTTGGACCTCATCACCATCAGCTAGTTAGCAGGGGCTCAGGTGTTAGTGGAGATTGGCCTGCAGGACACAAACTAGCTCTGAGGGAATCCTGCAAAGTATATGGGAGACATGCAAGGATGTGGGACTCCTTTTTGAACATCACCCAGTACTGAGGCCTTTAACTGAGTCAACAAGGATGTAAGATCTAGAGTTGGAGTCAAGTGATGTGAACGTGCCTTATTAACGACCATGATTTTGGAATGGCACTAGTTTGGCTCAGTGAGTATTGAAATCAGGCTGAGCTGCAGATCTCTTGGTGACTATAGGCAAGTCACTATCTCAGTCTCCATTCCTTGATACGAAGTATTCCTGTCTCATTCTGCGAGTCATATTAGTCACCGTAAAACCTTCTTGGAGAGGTTATAGCAGAAGTCATTAATGTTCTTACCTTCAAAGAGGAGCAGAAAGCCTCTTAGATAATAGTCCTTAATTTAGCCTGGTCTGTTTTTAAATCTAGGTCAACCCAAGTTTATTTTTGTGAATGGCATGTTCTTGTTCTTTTTACCTACCCCATTGTTCTGTAAAGGGGGTTTAGCAAACATTCCAAGTGTTACTCAGCAGCAGGGACCCACACCTATTCTTGAGCATCTGGTGCAATTTTGTCTTGTGGGATCTCCTCCCTAGCATCAGATGTCACACTAGGAGTGTACGAAGAGGAAGTCCAGCACATTTGTCCTACCCTGATCCTGCTTCTGTTGTAACACCCATGACTTCTCCTCCCGTGAGCTGGAGCACTCCGTAGCCTAAATTCATAATAAAACACTTCCATCATAGGTGAGGTTCTCTCCTTCAAGTCTCATGCTGAAACAATCCCTTATGTTTTGTGGCTCCTTGTGTGCACGTTAGCTTCAGTTTCTACCCGGCTATTCATAACTTCATTTTTATTAGGTTCTTTCAGGGAGCATTTTAAGTTCTACCCTTCTGCTTCAAGGGTGTTGGGCAGGTGTTAAATGTTTTGCCTTATTTGAACAGCCTGGGCAGTATCTAAAGGGAATCAGTAGAGCGAGCACATACACCATTATCGTCTAACCATTGGGCTCCATCTCTGGAGGGGCACCTGCTGTGAGATTGGAAGAACATAGGGGCTTAGGAAGCTGCCTTACACTGAGCCAGCTCCATCTACTGCAGAGTGGCCTATTTTTACTTATTTCATAAATGTATATACCGCTAGATCGTAGTTTACAAAAGCGGTTTACAAAAAGAATAAAACAATAAAATTATTGGTGAAAACAGCTACTCAAAACATTCAAATAATAATTACAAGAAAGCTAAAAACAGATTAAAACACATGGAGCACATGTCCACACCGACTAGCAGCGGTACTCTCCAAGGTTTCAGGCAGCCAGACCTGGAGATGCTGGGGACTAAACCGGGTCCCTCCTGCAGGCAAAGCAGATGCTTTAGCGCTGAGCCTTTCCCTAGGGAGGAGAAATGGAAGTATTGCCTGCTGGATCAAGTTTGGGAAGTGGGAAGACAAAATGGTGGGTGGATGAACGGAATGGGACATAAGAGGATCTCCAGGTTGCAATTTGGCGTGCTCATGCTGGTTACAGATGAGCTACTGAATGTCAGGAACGGAGCCATTGGAATCCATCAGGCATCATCAAGTGTCATATTAGCACCTCTCCCGCCCCCAGGACTAACGGTGGGATGATGAACAGTTTGAATGAAAGGGGGGCGGGGGATACAACACTCTGAGATTTATTACATTTGGTTTCCTTAAAGGGAATTCTTCTGGAATGATTAGTTAAGTTCCGAGTGAAAGATCTGAAAATAATTTGATTCTGCAAATGTATGTGTGTACATGATATATGGGTTTTGAGAAATCAGGTCTAATAAGAGAGAACAGTAGCTGCATTTATTTATTTAACTTAAAACTGTGCTAGTCCATTTTCTATAAAACTATTCACAGTGTGTCTTTCAAAGGCAGTGCATTAACACGGTATGATACAAACAGCAGACAGAAAAAATAAACTACGGTGAATAAAACTCATTAAGATATTAAAAAGCAGAGGAGCAGAGAGCAGTGAAATCTATAGGAGCGGCAGTAAAATAATTTGTAAAAAAACAATGAGCCTGCTAAGAGCCTTGGAGAACAAAGAGGTTTTTATGGAGGCAACGAGCTAAAAGTATCGGGGCTTCCACAATTGGTTGGGGGAATGGTATTCTGTAGGCAAGGTGCCACCACAGAGAAGCCCCTCTTCCCAGTTTCCACATGGTGCAAGTGCCATGAGGAGGACTTCTGAAGCAAATCTTAGGTATCAGACAGGTTCTTATTAAAGGTGGTGTTTTAGATGCCCTGCTCATAAATAATTTAGGGCTTAAAGGTAAAAACTAATTCTTCTTCTTCTTCAATGATTGTTTGATAGTGGTAACAGCATACTATTAAATGTTCTTACATGATCTTTCATTACTGATGAATATGAGGTTCATGAAACTAGTTTTGGAAGATTCGAAAGACTGATGATAGCTCATAATCCCTCAAGAACAGAATTCCGCTGACAGCATTTATTCCCCGTCACGAGAACACCTTTAAGATCAGGTACAACTCCATTCATGTGCTTCTGGTTTATATTGCTTCCCCACCCCCCAGAGGAGTGTATACTTGAGGAAGGCTCCAAACTGTTTGCATGTTGTAGGAAAATTAACTGTGTGAGATGGACCACCATGTTTGTTCGTTGATGGGAATTTGGTTATAGGTAAGCTGGCAGCTGCTGGAAGTTGAATGTATATAAACCTGCTCACAACAGAAAGCATTGTGGGTTATAATGGTAGCAAGGATGGCATGCTAAATAACAATGTACAATACTATATAGAGAAAGTTTAATGGAGACCAAATGTAACTGAATGGAAGGAAAGTTCAATAATTAAATCCTTTATAGGCACTTTAATTATAAGGATTATATGAGCATGCAGCACACCTACAGGTCCAGGGTGAGGCAAGTTCCTTGTGCTCTCATGTAAATTAAAGTGAATCTGGGTTGTGGAATGGATCTGGCTGGCAGGCAGGATCCTGAGCGACCCTTTTGACTGGTGGGCAGGGCATCTGACATTACAGTATAGTGGTTATCAGTCATCTGGTGTCAGATGCCACACTGTCAGAAGACCCTTTTCAACACTAGTTTGAATTCAGAAAAAGATGCTGATTTTTCAATTTGATAAAAATGTGACTTCTTGATGCAAAGGAAGTATTAATCTCCATAGCTACTTCTTGACATTTCTCACACTTAACATAATATATGATGTCAGCCTGGTAGGCCAAATGACCCACGAGCTGGAGGTCCACACCAGTGTGCTCAATGGTAGAAAGTGTGCAAATGGTAATGAAACATTTGGGGAGGGGTGTCAAGGCATAACTCCTCCTTATGAATGCATTTGATGAAGCAGACTCTCTGCCACACACATTTATGCAGTTCAGTTTCTGCTGTAATTAGGCAGTTTCTTCATGCAGGAAATTGAAGCATTAATTAAAGGCCCTGAGTTCAACGACAGTCTATAAAACAAAAGTTCATCTAAACATGTGCAAATGCATCCCCCTCGCTGTTCAACAATCTACACATGTGGTCTGCCTTTCCAAGTCAAAGGCAAGCTTTCAAGCTGCCAACTCCTTCTTGAGAAATTATTCGCTGGCTATATGCTCTCTAAACATACAGCGGTACCTCGGGTTACAGACGCTTCAGGTTACAGACTCTGCTAACCCAGAAATAGTACCTCGGGTTAAGAACTTTGCTTCAGGATAAGAACAGAAATCGCGCGGCGGCAGCGGGAGGACCCATTAGCTAAAGTGATACCTCAGGTTAAGAACAGTTTCAGGTTTAGAATGGACCTCCAGAACGAATTAGGTTCTTAACCCGAGGTACCACTGTACTTGCAATGTGTGCAAAATTCAGTCCCAGTGTGACGCATTCCCAGGTAAGTGCGCATAGGAGCCTTAGTACATCTTGTATCTCCTTGATTTCCAAAGTACATTAATAGATGCTTGATGTCCTTGAGTATGGGAGGGAAGTCCTCCTGTATCGATTCCAATAGGTCATCTACAAACCAGATATAAATTAAACAAGGGAATAAAAGATTTAAAGGGAGACTAAGGGATTAAACCTGGAAAGAAGTCAGACACTACAGAGGGAAAATGGATGCTCTGGCAGAGCTTCTGCATTGCATTTCATGATGAGATAGTGGGAGATGTACCTCCACATACTGCAGAGCTGCAAGGGTCTGGGTGATATTCCTGATTGGTTTATAAATAGAACACAGATGCATTTTCTGAAGAACATTACTTAGCAGGTGCTAATGGGACACTTCTATAATTAATGGTCCAGGCTGCACAAAGGGCATGGCGAAAACAAATGGAATGCTGCCTTAGGGCCCAGCTAGGAACAGAAGACACTGCAGCAAGGAAGAAAGCATGAGAGAGGGATGTGAACACTGCTTGGTGCCTTTACGGCTGGCATAACCAGCAGGCAAGACTGCAGAGCTCAGAGATCTTAATGGTATTTCAAAAGCTCTCTCTGTATTTTGGTGATCTGTGGTTTTTTGTTGGGAGGTTTTCGGGTGCAGATTCTGCACAAATAATCTCCACATGCAACGAGCAGTGTGAAATTCTCTTGTTTTGTTAAATCGTTCTTAATAAAGGATAAAGCTCCTCTCATGCTACGCTACCTGTCAAACCACAAAATGTGGTGGTGCTCTCAACAAGCTATTCCCTACTGATGTTAAAAGCAAGACAGGGTTGTTCCTTCAGATATTTGGATCCTCCGCCATTATGTTTGTTAGCAAATGGCAACATGCCAATTACGTTTCTGCAGCAGTATTTTAGGGCCTGTGGTTCATATGGAAGACACTTAACTATGTTACAGCTGGTTTCAAGTATACGGCTGTCTGATCTACAGTACTGGGAACAGCTTCATGTGAGCTAGGGGAAATGATGTCAAAAGCATGTCAGCAACACATATAAGGCAACCTGTGTATTCAGGGTCAAACTGATGCATGCTGGAGTCAGGATTATCATGCTAATTCAGAATGCTAAAGTCAAAGGCCAGGGGTTGACTAGACAAATGAGAATCGGGCAGAACTGGATAGTTACTACTAAAGTGATGCAAGTTGTCAGGATCCACATGAGTACCTGCTCAGTATATGAAGGCTCGGAGTCTGTGATGGATTGGTGGTGGTAGAGGCTTTTTCTTACTGGCAGACTCCCTTTGTGAAGAAGAGGTCCCTTTTAAAAGACTGTCAGTAGGCTGCCACCAGACAGGATAAACATCCAGCCCCACCCTCTGGTTTGTCTAACTGCTTGGGGGACTTTCTGCTCCCCTACATCCAGCCCAGCTCTTGGAGGGAAAAATATGGTTTGGATTTGCTCTCCCAAAGGACATAGAACTTAATAAAACCTCCCCCAGTCTCTGGGACATTTTTTTTTAATGTTCTTTTTTTTTTTTTACTTCTAAAAAGAGTTTCTTAAAAAATAACAACAAAGCAGCAGATCAGTCCTGCTTTGTGGCAATGCAAGGCAGAAATCAGACTGTGAACAGGGTGAGATTCTGACTGGATACCAGGGAAACTAAGGCAATACAGTCATGTTGTTGTCGTTTAGTCGTTTAGTCGTGTCCAACTCTTTGTGACCCCATGGACGCCAGGCACTCCTCCCACAGTTTGGTCAAACTCATGTTCATAGCTTCGAGAACACTGTCCAACCATCTCGAATACAGTCATACCTCGGGTTAAAGTCGCTTCAGGTTGAGCATTTTCAGGTTGCACTCTGCGGCGACCCGGAAGTAACGGAACGGGTTACTTCCGTGTTTCACCGCCCGCGCATGTGCAGACGCTCAAAATGACATCATGCGCATGCGCAGAAGTGACGAATCATGACCTACAGACGCGGGTTGCATTCTGCTCAGGATGTGAACAGGGCTCCAGAACAGATCCCGTTCGCATCCAGAGGTACCACTGTACAAAGTAGGGAAGGACTCAGGCTTTGCTCAGGAAACACAGAACTCCCATGTTGCTTCAGCAAGGACAAAACTGAGACTCAGCCCTAAATAGTAGCAGCCCTATATAGTAGCAGCTGTATCCTGATTGTTAGCCCCCCCCCCATTGGAAGATACTGCTTTGCTTAAAAGCACAGTAGTCTCCTAGTATGGTGGACCCTCTGGTCTTACTGCGTCTTCAGTGAAGTTCTCTGCATCTATGAATGGCAGTGTCACAGCCTCTCGTGACGTTGCTGGGCTTCTAGGGCTGGCTCTGCATGGCTTTCTGCTTTTGGTTCAGAGTCCCCAGCTCCACCACCCAAAGAGGAATCTGACTCCTGGCCCCTGACAAAACCAGCAGATGAATGTACAAACCTTTGCTTGAGGCTTTTCATTGTCGTTTTACATGCCTTCTGACATCTGATCTGGATGCTGCCATTAGCGCAGAACGAGTGAGATCCTGTCTGCAAATAACCGCACTGCTCAGAGGTGTGCCCACTTGCTGCCAGAACAAGTTCAAAGTGTTACTGTTAGCATTTCATGGATCAAAACAGAACGGGGCCTACATCTGAGTAGCCAGGCATAGGATTGCACTGCCAATTAAAAAGCAGATAACTTCAGAGTGGCAGGAGGGAGACTAGTTACGAAGGGGCAGGGCAAGGGGAGAATTATTGATTGATGATTTTTAATTATAAGCCACCTTTCATCAAAGAATCACAGAGCAAATTACAAAATATGACTGAGAGGAGATTGCTGTCAGTTCATCCTACTTAAATCTCTCAGCATACTTCTCTCTCTCTCCCCCTCTCCCACTCGCTATCTCTCTCTTGGCAAGGTGAAACATTGAAAATGACTTCCTTGTTGATAAGTCCTAGTGGTTCACTCCTTATCAGTGCTCACTCTAAGAGCTCCTTTTTCAGAAAAAAGGAAAAGGATCAGCAGTCACTCCTGTGAGTTCTCAGTTGTAGGTGAGAAGGGTGGGCTACTGACGATAAGAGCTTTTCCGGCACGTGGGTTTTAAAATGATTCAGGTGTTTGGAATGAGGTGAAAGCAAGTAGCCAGCCATGCTGCTGAGGGAGGTTTTTATGAACAACACCATGTAAATCTAGAACACAAATCCTGGATGGAAAATCTAAATATTTGCTTAGTTATTCACACAGTAGTGTTCACTGCTGCTGCTGCTGCTGCTGCAAAAAAAGACTTTATCCTCTCAAATATATTTTATTTTATTTTCCCTTTCAGCTAAAAATGGGCTCCCAAGGTGACCCACTGAAATTAAAATGCAATACAAAACACAGTGAATACCTGGGAAGCATGTGTGTATTGTATAAGTGAACCAAAATGACCAGCATTAAGGCTGGCTGCTCTTCGGGGTGGGGAGTCAAGGAATATGGCAGACAGGACCCAAATTAGTTTTAAAGAAGAGCGGAGGAAGAAGGATCTATATCAGGGATGGGGAAGCTTTTTGAACCTAAGGACCACATTCCCTTCTGGACAACCTTTCAAAAGTCACATGCCAGTGATAGGCAGGGCTAGAGGCAAAAGCGAGATGAGCAAAACATGCAAATTTGCCTTTGAACATTAAGCTAGTTTCGCCACACTCTCATATACCCATCTCTATCTTTCATCTAGATAAGTAAGTTCAGTGACATTCTCCAACCAGGTCAAAATACATAGGTATGAAGCAGGGAAGGCTATTGCCTGTGGAGAGGAGGTGCAGCTTCAGAAGAATTCTGAGGGCTGGACAGAAAGTTATGGAGGGCTGCACCTGCTCCCCAAGCCTGCGGTTTCCCACCTCTGGTCTATATGGAGCCTTAAGGATTAAAATGGAAGATCTCTGTTCTCTGACATCTTTCACCTATGAATTTCTTCACCTCTGGTCTCTATGGAGGCAGGAAAGACACAGTGCAAAGAGGCCAGGATATAGTTTAGTCGCACTACATGTTATGGAGGGGAAGAAGGGGACTCAGCAAAGAGGCCGCCATCTCCATCAGTAGCTCCTTGTAATGTTTGGTTCCAACCTTAATTAGACTGGAAATTACCAGCACTGTTCTGGATTCAGATTGCTGAAATATCCACAGAGGGAAGAGCAGTAAATGAAAACTATACAATAGGATGCAGTTTATTAGGAAGACAAAGCTGGAGATGACGGATTATTACTACATTTGCACCCCACTTTTCTTCAGAAGAGCAGAAGGTGACATAGATGATTCTCCCCTCTTCACTTTGTCTTCATAACAACCTTGTGAGGTTGGACGCACTGAGATACAGTAATTGTTCCATGGTCACCCAGTGAGCTTCAGGGAGATAGGTTTTTGAGAGCAGGTAGGTGGAAAGAGTCAGTTGGAATGATGCTTATTAGCATTGCCAAGTGGTTGCAAGGCTAGCGCCACAATCTGGGTCACAAGTAACTTGAACAGCATCAAGAGTGTGGAGCACCCAGATCTTCCGTGCCCCAAATTGTCCTGGCATGCTGTTTCTGCATAGCTATCTGGGGGAGAGAAGAAGCAGGCTTCTGTTGAGCCCTAAGCAGATCCTACCACATGTAGGATGCACATGCACTTAAAACAAACATTTCATCTTTCAGAGTTGTGAGGTTTTAATGATGCACTTAGTTGACCTCCTCCCCCTTGCATTTAGAAATAAAAATTATGTTGATTGCAGTATACATGAGGTTATCTGAGGAGAGGGTTTGTGGGAAAGTAACATTTCTGCCAACAAAACCGTGCTTGCTTTGTTCTGAAAGCTTAAGATGTCAACATTTGCTCCTAGGTGATTGTGAAAACGAGAACAGAATATCAACCAGACCAGAAGAACAAAGGAAAACTCAGAGTGCCCAAAATTGCTGAATTCACAGTCAGTTTCACTGATGGTGTAACAGAAAGATTAAAGGTAAGAAATGCTAATTGCTAACTGGCTATATTCAGTGCTAATTACCATGGAATAATTAATAGACGACAACTGCCTTGATTCTGGTTTTAAAATAGCACAACTTGGTCCCATAGTGCATTATGCTGGGGTCATGGGGTTAGAATTCTCAACGTGATTTTGTTCTTTGGATTTATTTTTATTTTCTTACATTTATATCCCACTTTACTTCCATTGTGGAACCCAAGGTAGTGTACAAGGACGGTTCTCAGGTGGCCAGACCTGCTCATCCTTAGCTTCAGCTTCACGTTATCAGCCATCAGCCCCTACTCCAAGACCTAGGGAGGGACTAAAGCTGCACAAAAGCAGCTGTGGGGTGGGGAGGAGATTGGATCAGTCATGACATGGGTGAAAGGGGTTCAGCCCACCCACCCCATACTGTGGTCCCAGCTGCTAGCTCCCTCCAGCTGCTGCTAGTCACAGAAAGGGGAGAATATGAGCACAAAAATGTATTGTGTGCGGCAAGGGAGAGGAGAATTGACCCTTCTCCCCCTGTACTGCAACCCGGATCCAGATTACCTTTGCCTTTGGCTGCTTTTTGAAGACCAAACTGACATTGGAAGCAAGCAAGGATCTTGTGGCACATTAAAGACGAGCACATTTGTGATGACATAAGTCTTTGTGGACCACAACTCGCATTAACAGATACATTGCAAGATCCAGTCCCAGAACTCAAACGTAGCATGATGTGTGGCCCTCAGTGCTGGTCCAAGGTGTTTAATTTTGCAGCCCTTCCCAAACATGGAAAGTGAAAAGTACTTCCACAACGCACTTCCAGAATTAAATTATTTCGTGAAAGAGGCAGACATTAGCTCTAATGTCGATCTTACAGATGCTTTTCCGAGCAGGTGGGTGAGTGATCCAGTGAGGAAACTCTGTGTGAAGGTCAGGGTGGGTCTTTTTAAATAGCTAGGGAGCAAAACCAATTGAAGCCTGCAGGCTCAGTTGGTCCTGCCCCCTGAGGAGTGCCTGCCCCAGAAGCTGCCTGCCATTGGCCAATCTGGCATGTGGCATCAATTCTCCTGGCTGGCAAAGAAGCCCATTTTTAACCCCTGCCAACCAAGAGAAGCCTCTGCACAACCCTCCTCTGCTGGGCCAGTGTTCGGGTGGCCAGTGGCCAGCCTGCAATGCTGTTTGTAGCTTTAAAGAGGTAAGCAGACTTCTCTCACTTCCTCTATGCCAGTGATGGCCAAACTCGGCCCTCCAGCTGTTTTGGGAATACAATTCCCATCATCCCTGACCACTGGTCCTGTTAGCTAGGGATGATGGGAGTTGTAGTCCCCCAACAGCTGGAGGGCCAGGTTTGGCCATCACTGCTCTATGCTATGCCATAATCAATACTAAAACTGTAAAGCTGTGCCAGAGCAAAGAAGGTTCCCCAATTATCCTGGTGCTGCTGCAGATGATGTCATAATTCCTGCTCTGGAAAAAACCACCCTGGAATTGCACTTCACTGCATTCCACCTCCCTTGCACTGCTGCTGAGATCAATGAAGCATCAGATTGACTACAGAAAGGAGTTCTCCCTTTGCTTTTTTATGAGTGCAGTGGTAGAATCTACTCTTTCCGCTCCTCAACCTGACAGTTTCATTTCCAAGCCCTTTCCTTTCTCCATAGTCCATATGATTTCTATTCCATGCCTCTCAGTGTCACTTATTAATCGCCCATCATGGCAACTGCCAGCAGATAAGGTTGTAAGCTTCTCCTGCCTGTTTTCCATAAGGCTCACATGCACCATATTAACTTTGCGGTATTATTTCCTGACCAAAATGAGCTGAGATAATAGATTATATTTTATTGCCTTCTGTACTTCTCCTGTACTGAATCCAGTGCATATTTTAGGCAAGTTATTAAATATACCTCCCTCTGGTTATGTGCATATCTATTATCTAGAGCTGATGAAATCATCTTGCATTTGTGTTTTTGTAGCGGGAAGGAAAAGAGTAAAATGCTTAAGTTTTATTAACTCAGCTTTTGGCGATGGGTAGATAGATATAGTCGTAGAGACATTACAAATGTGATCATCATATTTTCTGTTGCTGGGTGGATGCTCTCTCAATGGCCCTCCAGTGAGCAATGTACTAGAAATTTCATTTCCACCTTCCTGTAATATTATAGTAAAATATGAAATGCTTATACATACACAGAGGCCATGCCTCCATCTTCTCTAAATTGGAGTATGATTTGGCTCTATAGATATTTTCTAGGCCAAATGAGCCATCATCCCATTGACTGGAATAGGAGTGACAATAATCCAAGCTGTCTAGAGAGATCCCTGAGTGAAGGTGGGGGAGGGAAGAGATTTTTCTCTTAAAGTTCACAATGATGTGATTTTGAATTTGATTAGGGGTGCAATTCCAGACATATTTTACTGAGAAACACCCCCCCCACCCCATGCTTAATGGAACTTACAAGTAGGAGTGTATGGAATGGCATCCTTAGTTATGCTTACGTGCAGCTCTAACTCATTTCCGGCTCTTGTAAGAGAATCCTGAAAGACTGTGTCAGTAGAAGATAAAAAAGGAAGGGACTTGCTTCTGGCTTTTCCGGCCATGCCATTGCCAAGTGAGCAATACCACTTCAGGGGATCAGTGATGTAGGAATACTGCAAAGTCTGCCTCTTCTCCGTTACCGTGAAGGGAAAGGAGCAGCTGACATTGCTTCACCTCTTTCTGATGAGCTGTTGAAGCCCTTTCCCCCTCCCTCTCTTGAGAAAATGGTTGCCAGGGTTCTCTGCACTCTGCAAAATATTCTGCACCAAGAAAAGCTGCATTCAAGCCTGTCTGAAATATGCAAATCAAGACAAATGTTCAAATTTGCTTATTTTGCATAATGTGCTGCGGTGTGGTTATCAGGGCGGAAGGGCAGGAACTCTGGAGGGTATTCATGCTCCCCTGACTCCTGGAGTTCCTTCTCAAGCTCCCTGTGCCTCTGGGCCTTCAGAAATTTCAGCTGATGGTATGTATGCATTGTCAAGCATACCTCTGCTTTCAGAAGCATGCCGTTTTTCAAAAAACCCAAACCTGAGGTTTTGCACTCACTATTACAGGGTGTGCTTCATGTGCACATTTCATGGCGTAGACAATCCCTTAACCATTGCCTTCAAACAGCCTGACATACAAGAATGGCTATATCTTTCATTTAGAAAACTCTAACCTTCGCAAAAGTGAAGACAGGAACCCCAAGTAAAGCTCCCAAAGCAATAACGTGAGAACCAAAAGTCTCTGAGAGCCTTTCATGGCTAAGAATGGCAGTTGTAGAAGCGGAAGTAGGTTTCATGCCTTCCCAGGATGCAAATTAGCACCTTCATTATATCTCAGTCTGTTGGCTCTGCTGGAAGAAGAGCTTGCGGAAGCTAGGGAGACAAAGCGAGAGGGTGTTTGCTTTCCATTTCGTTTTCTTCCAAATTTTTTGTGTCCAGCTTTTAAAATTGGTTTAAAATAAGTTTATATGGTTTAGATAAAAAGAACACCAACAATAAAAACACAATTATTTGTATTAAGAGCATAGCAGCTTTTAAAACCAACATAAACTGGTTGTCCAGAAAGAGAGAATTCCATAGCTGTGGTGCTACCACTAAGAAGGCCCTGCCACTGGTCTCTCCCCTCCTTGAATTTCTGCTAAAGATGGGCCAGAAAAAAGGGCCTGTGACCCTAATCTTAAGATTGGCTGGTTCACAAGGACAAAGCTGGTCCTTAAGCTAACCTGACCCCAGGCTATTCAGGCCTCTAATTGTTAAAACTTAAGACCAACATTCACATTGACCCTGGAAACAAACTGATAACCAATGTAATTAGTGCAAGATTGATGTCATGTGCTTCAACTGCCTTTTCCCCACCAGTGTTCTGAAGGCCCCCTTTTATACCACTGTCCTTAAAGGCAGCCCTGCAGTGGTCCAGTCTGGATGTACATGGGCAGAACAAAACATTACAAGAAGCATGAGACCACTGCTGAAACTGGCAGCTCTGTGTCAAATTCTTTCCTCCCTGCTCCACACCACCTAGTGCAACTTGCCTTGATGCCCTTACGCCATGTGCTTTCTCGTCTCCACGTCATTGGCTGCCCCTACTGGGGGCAAGGAAATAAGCAGCGTCATCAAGCAAGGACATGGGCTAAATTGCAGTAGAAATTACAAAGAGGGAGAGGAGAGAGACTAGCAAAGGGCTGTTTCACTAGCATCCCTCTCCCTCTCCCACCCCTGACTCCTGTTCCAGGATTAGAAATATAAAATGGCAAGAAGGAAGTTTTGCTTTTCCTGGAAGGGTTGCTTCACCCTTGCAGGAAATTTCAGAACTGTATGTGCTTGGTAGGTAGCTCTGAAGATGACCTCTATTCTGTGCCCAGTGGTGATCATTTATTGAACCAGCTAATGAATGATTAGACAGCCTTCTATCACGAAGAGGCTGGAGTTTTCCATAGAAGGGAAACTTACGCAACTGCATCTGTCATCCATCTAGGATAGCACTGATATGATCTCTTTAATTGTGGTAGCATCTGACAGGAGCTCTTGTCCCTAGGCAACTGCTGTTCGCTCACTCTTCCTCTTGCTGAAATCTTGTGTAATTTCTGCTGCTTGTCACTTTTGAAATATGATACTATATTTTTCTTGTAGCTCAGCTCAATTACAGAGCATCCCGGAACTTTGACCAATTACTCTGCAACTGCATGACTCATCTTGTACATACATTATGACAAACATCATTGCTACTCTGCGTAGGTGGAGTACAAGAAAATGATGTTAAAATGACATTAAGGCCCAGCCACCAATGCCCCAAAGTAATTTCTTTCATTGCCGAGTTTGCCCTGCAGAAAGGCATGTCAAAATGTTCTTAATTTAGAACTCTTTACTTCTGCGCTGCAAGAATGCGCTTGAAAAGGCCGTCTAGAACAGAGATGGGGAAGTGAATAAAGAGAAGTTTTTCTCCCTCTCTCATAATACTAAAACCCAGGGCCATCCGATGAATCTGAATGTTGGACAAGTATCATTTTGTCTGTCCTGAATCTCCCTTCTTCAAGCAAAACATCATTAAACAAATTCACTCCTGTAAGATGTAGAGATGGTTGTCAACTTGGGTGGCTTTAAAAGAGGGTTAGAAAATTCATGGAAGACAAAGAACATACCTATGATGGCTATGTTCTACCTGCACTGTCAGAGAGATAATGCTTCTGAATTCCAGTTGATGGGAATCAAGAGTAGGGAGAGTTCTGCTGTGTTCAGAGTTTGCTTGTATGTTTCCCATAGACATCTGGTTGATTACTGTGATGCTGGATGAATGAGCTTTTCAGGGTTCTTAGTATGTTGGTCTGCAAATCCCATCAGCCTTAGCCACATGGTCAATGGTCAGGGTGCTCAGAATTGTAGCCCAGTGCCATCTAGAAGGCCATAGCTTCCCCATCCCTGCTGAACAAGGTTTTTGTTCTTCAAAAATGTTCTACTTTACAAGGAACCCATTGAACAAGCCAAGCTGAACATACAGTGAACATACATTGGATACTCTACAGTTGTTCATCTTACTTGAATCGCTTTGGAGTTACTTGGTTTGGTTAGGGGTGCTTGAAGGTGTTTTGAGTCTTCTGAAAGCAGTTTCCTATGGTTTCCTGACCAACACTCCAGGGTTTACACAGAAGCTACCTGTTAAGTTGTGGGTGAACATATCAGACGACACAGCAATTCTTCAAACAGCTCTTCTTTATTGAGAGGCCAGAACAGAACTGAACTGAAGGGCTCAGTCAGCCTGCTTATATAGAGCTCCAGTACCTTGTTACTGTAACAACTTTCTAAAACTATCCAATCACTGAACGTCACTTTCGATCCTTCATTTGCATACAAACTATCCAATCACTGAACATCACTTTCGATCCTTCATTTGCATAACTATCTACAGTATCCCCCTGCTGGCCCAGGGTGAGAACTTCAGTACATAACACCACCAGAAACCTTTGATTCCCTTGACCCTTTGCATTGCAGGGGGTTGGACAAGAAGACCCTCAGGGTCTTCCAGCTCTATGATTCTATGAGCCAAACACATTGGCAATTTAGCTGTGCTGTTAAGCATCACTGTTACTAATCACTGAATCCTGTCAGAGCTGTTCTGTCAGCCTTGGTCTGCCCAGCTCCATGTTTTCTTGAATCATTTGAGGTGACAACCGGCAGATTCCAGCCTTCACAGTACCTATTCTGGCCTTTTCCTCTTCTGGATCTTTCTTTCATAGAAGGCAAATAGTCAGTCAGTTCTCTGAACTAGATGTAAATGAAAGCCACAGTCTTGGGACAGATGGCAGCAATGGACTGAGACAGAATTTGGGGACACAGAAAACTCCCTTGCTTTGAATCAGGCCACTGGTGCATATAGCTCAGATTTGTCCACACTGACTAGCAAGCAGGATTCTCTCCCAGCTCTAGCTGGAGATGCCAGAGACTGAAATTGCATGCAGAGCAGGTGCTCCATCACTGAAGGGTTAAAAAGCCCTTCCCTCTTTAGTGTTTGCTGTTCTGACTGGAGAGAAACAGAAACGGAAATAGCCTGGTATGAGTGAATTTTCTAGAGTCTTTTGCTTCAAACCAGGTTTCAAGGGGTGTCCTGAGCAGCATGATAATAAGCAGGCATCTCTCACTTTCATTCTGGTGTATGTTTCTGCCCTCCCACCTCATTTGTTAGGATGTTGAACAATGCCGGTACTCCATTCAGGCATCCTTCAAGGGCGAACAAAATGGATGAGTCAATTATATAAGGAAAATACCCCTGAAGTGCAGGCTTGTGTGTTTTCAATCTGTCTATTCAGTGCAACTCATTTAAACAAATAGTTACAGGCTCAGGCAACAACCGGTTCATGGTAGGAAAATAAGTTGACGCCATGACAACTATCAGGCCTCGTGCCCAATGTATTTGAGGCATAGAGATACTGCTGAAAAATCCTGTTGCTTCCGGAAGAGGGCATAATCAAATGAGCATAGACTCCCCTCTCACTTAGGTGAATTGTCAAGCACAGTTGGGTCACTTAAGCACAGGGGTTGTGTAATGTGTTCAGTTTTTCAAAAATTATTATTCTAGGAAAGTTAGGGGCAAAGGGAAGGGTGGTGAGGCTACTGAACAGTAAAAAACAACAACCCCTGATCCAGTAATACTTTTCATGTTCTTTTTACTTCCTCATCCAACACATTTGTGGGTGACATTTGTTGCCACAAGGTGTGAGAAACTGGCTTTAAAAGGGGAATAGATATCATGGATAGATCAGCCAATGGCTACCAGTCATGATAACTAAATATAAATTATCCATGTTTAGAGGCAACAATCCACTGAATACCCATTGCTGGGGGCTATTACCTTCATGCCCTACCTATGGAGTTCCCAGGAGCATCTGGGTAGCCATTGTGGGAAATGGAATACTGGCTTTGATGGGTCACATTCCGTGCACATATTTTTTTGCAAAGCAATGCTCCTAATAGAATGCGTTATTGTATGTTATTTTCACTAGTAAATATGTTTTTGTACGCATTGCTTGGCTGGCGAACTGCACAACAATATTTGGAGAAGTGCGAATTTTGCAGGACGGCTGCATGTTGGTTTGTGTATTGCTTTAGAAAGTACAAATTAGGTAGATTCACCTTTAAAAGTGAGGTGAATCGAATTTCTGCCCCATCCATAAAGCGGAGGCTGTTGCCACAGTTTCATGGCTTGGATTGGATGGCCTTCAGATGCCCTCCATGCGCCTATAATAATGTGTTCAGTAGAAGGGAAATCGGTGTACCGTCTGTGAATTCAGCTTTTTAAAAAGTTCTGCTTCATGACCTAGGATGATATACACAGAGCAAAGTGCATTTGATTGCATCAGCTTTTTCAAAACAAACAAAGAAACAAATCTAAAATGTACTTCAGAGTACTGCCTTTGATTTCATTTCAAGTGAAAAGATCACTGGCTTTGGGATGGAGGAATGATTCTTCTGCATTTTTGATCTGTGTACAAGTTTCAGGCTTTTCCAGGGCTCTTGATATCGAGGCCCCACTTCTGAGGGATGTCGTACTAAATGTCAGAGGCACATGAACAACTGAAATGTTAAAATGTGATCTGAGGACAAAAACCCCTCAACCTCGGAAAATTCATCTTGGATTCATATGGTTGCTTCGTTGCTCCAAATAGTGACGTGGCAGGAAGAAGCAATCCATGTTTGGGTAATTTTATAATCTGTGCAATGTGTATAACATATATAATGAAGGGCGGGTGTAGAGTAATGGAAGAGTCAAGTCAAACATTTGTAAATTAGCAGTCATTCATTTTTGTGTTCCTGTTTTAGCTGATTCAGTGCTGTGAAGTCGCACTCCCAACTGTGTTCTAAATGGATCTTTTGATTTCATAGCTGCACTTTATTGTTTTATTGGTGTCATATTTATTCTCACCCTACCTCGGCTGATTTGTCTTGTAGTGCACACAATGAACTTGTGTTATCAATTGCACATACACACACACAATCTGCAGATTCACCCTTGTTGCAAATATGAACCCCTTTCATGGCCAATGGTCAGAGTTGATGGAAGTTGCAGTCTAGCAACTCCTAGAGGGCCACAGGTTCCCTACCCCTGCTGTAAGGTTTCTGAGGCATTCATGGGCAATGCCCCTATTCTCAAGATGCTACTGAAGGGTGCATACTTGCTACTACACTTGTGGACCCCCCCACATCTGTGCAGCTGATCTGTGCCGAGGCAAAAGTTCAGTCTTCAAGTTGAGCATGCTCTGCTCAGGCCTCCTACTTGTGAGAGTTGCAAACAGTATGTTTGAGAGCTCCTCTGTTTGATTTTTGCATAACAAACTTAAATTGTATTTCATTTATGTGAGGAAGGAGGCACTGGTCTTTGAAAGTTTATGCCATGATTAATGTGTTGGTCTTTAGAAGGTGCCACCAGACACTTTGCTATAGGTCACCCTTGCTGACTGGATTGTGTTGACTGCTGATTATTTCCCCTTCATTTTATTACTATTATTTTGCAGCAGCAGAAGCTTAAAATGGACTCCTTTCAGTAATTAAATCTGAGATTCTGGGAGATTGAACAGTAACGCACCAGCAGCCAGATGTTGCAACTCATGAGCTTCCCTCGTGGCCACAGAGGATTCCAACTTCCCTAGACGTATCTTTGTTGAGATGTAGTCACTGTTGCATCTAAAAAGGCTTCTTGCAGCTCTGAGGCTTCTGTTAATGCAAAATCCCAGATGTAGCCAGGGTGGCAAAGTGCCACATTGCACAAGCTGATGGGAAGTTATGAGATGTCACTAATGAAAGGTCAGCAGCAGGATGATATGCCCCTATGCAGTAATCCCATTAATTGAATCACCTGCTCAAATTAGTGATTTGAAAGGCAAGTCAGCTCCAATTTTTCTCAACACGCTCCCCCCCCCTTTCCTAATGATCCACTAAAAAAAAAGAAAAAAAGATAAAGCTTTTCTGCACCTGGGCATTAATTGGGAACACTGGCAGGAAATTCTTAGCAGGAAAAACAACAGATGCATTTGCAGATCCCAAAGACCAGAAACTCTGAATTTAGGGAGCAAACTGCATTGTTCACATATTGAGTTCAAACTACTCATCCGCTTGTATTAAATCTAAAGGATATGTAATATTCTTGTCAGCTACATGCATTGTAGACACTTTCCAGAGCCACAATAGTGGTCTTGGAGGAAAGCAACTGTAATAATGACAACAAAAGACTCTCTGATATTATCTCCTACAAACAGTTATTAATGTTTCTCCTGTTAATTGTTACTAACACTGCCACAGACATGACTGTGAGTAGCAGAAATAACCCTTTGATGCATGACAGCAAGTCAGCTTCACAGAGATCTGGCATATTTGCATATTTCACAGCAAAAGTCACATGTCAGGAGGACAGTGTCTAGCTCTGGTATCCGTCACACCAACCAAATAGATGGGCATGCTGAAATCCTTAAGCTTCCACTCAAAAGACAGGTAATGCAGGGCCGGCTCATCCAAGAGGTGGGCCAAGGCAGCTGCCTCAGGCACAGAAACCCAAGAGGGGGTGCCCCCATAGAGGCCCTGCCCACCTCTGTCACCAGCAGAGAAGCAGCACCAGTAGTAGGGGCCATTTCCAGTGAAATCGCACTGAGCGCTCGCAAGAGCTCCACAAGATCATGTGGGATCTTGCCGGAACCTATTGTTGCTGCTGCTACTTTGTGGGAACCAGCACGTGATCTGGGTAAGGGAGGCTTCGGGGGAGCGGTGATGGTAGGGGGCTGTGGGAAGGTGACACCTTCCAGTTTTGCCTCAGGTGGTGAAACAGAACCCACCCTCTCTGATCAAATAGTTACTTCAAATAGTTGCCTCACTCTGCCTAATGACAGGGCCGGTCCTATCCTCATCAGGCTGCCATGACTCTTGTGCTCAATTCTGCTTGCTGGTTTCTGTTCAGCCACTGTGAGAACAGGATGCTGGACTAGATGGGCCATTGGCCCGATCCAGCAGGCTCTTCTTTTGTTTGTATGTTCTTATAGCTGCCTTTTTGACTTTGCCAGCAATGGTGCCTCATCCAGCCTGCAAGCCACTCTCTGCTTTTCACTGCAGTATCCGTGTGTCCAGCTGCATTGTGGGAGTAGGAGATGAGACCCTGCAGGAAACAACTATGAGATGCTGCTGCTTTGTAGATATGCTCCTTGCCTCTTCTTAGTCTGCAGTGCTATGATGATAAAAGCATAGCCACTGCACCAGGCCTAATTATCTACCTGTTGCCTGCTCAGGAGGCATAGGACTGCAGTCTTATAGAATCGTAGAGTTGGAAGGGACCCCAAGGGTTATCTAGTCCAGCCCCCTGCAATGCAGGAATCTCAGCTGAAACATCCATAGCAGATGGAGTATTATTGGAGTAAATGAGCTCTTAGATCTGAACAGGGCTCCTAATTCACCACCACCCAAATTAAATGTTGACTTCTCTCTCTCCACTCTCCACCCACACTAGGGGTGGAATAGGAATAGCTCAGGAATAGGAAAATCAAACCCATTTCTACACTAAGAAATCAAATTTGCTAAGTAAGTTTAAAATGTGAAACTGTACCTGCACAGAATATTTTTGTGATGTAACTTGGCTGGCTAGATGTGTATGATTTATCTCCTGTATTTTTTTCCTGTAAAGTATGGACCATGACCATCATCAAAGCATGGAATTGGGGGCAGGGAGAAACCAGTAGCTCGCTTAAGAAAATAATGTGCTCAGCAAAGAATATTTGCAGCCATTCTGACACTGTCAACCTTCTCCTTCAAGCCCACAATACGAGAACAGATTGCAGGAAAGCAAATCCCATCCCATTTTTTTTAATGTGCTAAAACTCAAAATATTTTAGGCTACTTCCCTGCTTGAATGATGGGGAGCAATATTCCAGGCTGTTCAGTGTCAAAGGCGGCGGGGGGGGGGGAATCAAGCTGTTAACATTAAGGACTTTAAAGCATCTACCTAGAAATCACATTTTAGGACTTCTTTGGTGCTTGCACAGTGAAATGGTAGTTTTTGTTTGTGCCTAGGACTTGGCAGTGCCGTACATCACATGGCTGCAGCTTGGCATTGCAAACATTTTAAGACATCAAATCCATTAGGACTGAAACAGCCTCTAGAAATCATATTATGTGATGGAGATTGGCCAGTCTAATTGAGCCAGCTACTTATTGCCCAGGCAATTTAATGATTTGACAAATTGCTTGGAAACATGGTGTACTTGTTTGTTTTGTGCTTTCACTGTGCCCACGGGACAGCGGGGCAGGGGAATTAGCGGCGGAGATGTCACCTCAGCTGATAAGCTCTTTCTTAATTACAAAATGTGCGGAAGAAGTAGGGCAAGGGTGTCATGGGATAGCTACGTTGGAGGGAGAAAAGTTTTTTTGTAAAAGTGGGAGGGAAATGTTCCGGAGAGTAAGAGCTTTATTTTACACATCGAGTGCTTGGCTTGCAACATATTTCAAGTCTGTCCTTAACGTTAAGCCTTTGAATTCTACCGATGACCAGTTTAGAAATCATCACAAGATGTAGGCTGCCATTTTGGCTGGGATTGGAAAAAACCATGGAGGATAAGGCTATCAATGGCTGCTAGTCATAATGGCTATATCTAACCTCCAGTAGCAGAGGTGGTATGCCTTGGAATACCAGATCCTGGGAAACATGAGTAGGAAGAGTGCTATTGTACTCAAGTCCTGCTTCTGGGCTTCCCATAATCCTCTGTGAGAACAGAATGTTGCCCTAGAGAGCCCTTTGGTCTGATCCTTCAGAGACCTTCTTATGTTCTTAACTTGCTAGCATAGCCTCAGAATTTCTCAATTTAATTTTTAAAAATATTATACAAAGAAAACGGAATACCAGAGAAGTTAAAGAGAGTTACCAACTGTCCAATATTAGAGAAATAATGTATCATAATTCTTCCACTCCATCATACATGGATTATGCTTTATAAATTAAATAGTTTTCTTTCTTTCTTTCTTTTTACATTTTCATTTCTGTGAATAATAAATCATCATAAAACTTCTAGCACATTTTTTCATATTTTGATACTTATTTTAAGCTTCCAGTACAGAATGAATTCATCACATTGTTCCAGATAATATTGTTTTGCAACCCACCCTTTCCAGATCAACTTAAAGTATGAAATCTTTTAGTACAGGCTATACATAATTTCTCCACTCTGAATAATTGTATTGTCAGGAGTCAGAAAACAGAAAGGACTGGGACAGATACATGGCTATGTGGAGGGAAATAAGATCATTAGGTATAGAGAGTTAGTTCAAAAAGATATTTAAGAAGCCATTTTTTAATTTTTAAGAATTAAAAACAGCTGTTCCAAAATAGCTAGAGCTAATTCATGCTCATTGCAAATCAAGCTCAGGTAAGGTTTCCCATCTCTAAGCATTTATTGGGACAAGGGTGGAAGGATCTGCCAGTTTAGTTTCTCACATTTTCCCATTTTTCCAATCTTAAGTTCAGATTTCCACATTTTGCAGCTGGTTACAATTTTAAAATAAAAATTCTCTTGAAAATCCATCAGCATTTTACTACAAATTTATCCTAATAAACATTTTCTTATATGCTGTTTTAAGACATATGTTTTGCAAGCAACTTTGTCCAATAAATTGCATTTCTGTATGTTTTCACTAATATCTTCATTTTTATGCACACTTCCCACTATTACATGCATTTTTGTAAATGTTGTTGGGCTGGAGAACTGCATTACAAAATTCAGATAACTCTGAATTTTGAAGGCTAGCTGTGTGTTGGTTCACATATGGTTTCCGAAAGTGCAAATACAACAGTTTTGACCTTAAATATGTACTGAATAGAATGTCTCCTCGATTCCTAATTGGCACCCCTACCAGTAGCCGTCAACAAAAGTGCCAATGGGATTTTCTGCACCCAGTATGCTGTATTTAGATTGGGCGCTCTGCTGCACTTGCCAAAGGAGACAAAAATTAGCATCCATTTTATGTCACTTGCAGAATTGTACCTTCTTTCACAGGTGGGGTGAAACACTCACAAACATATCAGAGTAATGAGACAGAATATCAAAAGGTGGAAAACTTCCCATCATTGTAGTTCCACACTACAAAGGATCATTGTGTTTAGTATCTGCCGTGCTCTCTACCCATGCCAACCCTAAACCGTGTAAAGAACTCAAGCTTCCTGAGCTGTAGATGCGTTGCGTTACTGTAGGTCTTTCATCTACTGATTTTAGGCTGCGATACTACACTCAGTGCAACATCAGGCGTAGAGGGGCCCAAAAGTGATCTAAGATTTACAGCAGTTCTGTTCAGATGTTCATGCTTGGATAAATTCAAGATTTAATTAGTCAGAAAGCAAGCCGTGTAGTCATTTGTTGTGGCTATTTATTAATACCTCATAATAGCAACATTTTTTTCTTTTTCATTTTTGAGCTAAAACGATTCAAAATCCCCATTCAGCCAAGAAGCTCACTTGGTGCCCCTGAGCTAATCAGTGTCTCTTAGCCTAACCAAGCCTAGCCAAAGCCAGGAAAACAGGCATGCCTCCCTCCCTCTCCTCCTTGCTTTGGTTGCTGCCACCCAACTCTGATGCTTCTTGCAGCAAAAAACAAAACAGAAAACAGTTTGCCAGCCCTGATATAAAAAGTACTCTAAATACATACAGTTTTGCAGTATAAATTGATTTCGCTCATCATTGTTTTGCTCACTTCCTGCTCACAACCAGCAGCAAAACCTACCTTACATTACCGTTGTGAATCTATAGAGGGAGGTATAAAATGGCTGTGAAAGGGGACTTAGTGTTTGTATTAGAAGCATTAATTTTTGCTTTACTTAACCAGAATATTGCATCTTTGTAAAAGGACATATTTTGTTCTCTCTTTCTCCCTGCCACCTTGCCAAATTATTACACCTCTGGGGCTTCAACCAATTTGGCCTGATTATTGTGTGTTTAAATGCGTAAGTCCCAATAGTATTCAACTGTGCTGACGCATGAGCCACTTTCTGCCCCTTCCTCACAAGAAAGCCTAGGCTGCTGCAATCCTGTGCCCACTTACCTTGGAGTAAGCCCTATGAAGCACAAGGAAGCTTACTTCTGAGTGTCCTGTCTAGGAGAATCTGCGGAAAATAATTTATAGGTAACCGCTGATCTCAAGTGGAGATTACATACAACAACCAATTTATGCACGGCCAATTGACGTGCAACACGCACATGTGCACATTGTGGCAACCCAGAAGTGGGTGGGAAAGGGGGAGGAATGGGGGAGGGGCACAATGGGCGGAGCTGGCTTATGTGTGCTCTGCTGTCGTGTGCAATGACCTGGAATGCAACCTCCCCCACAAATTGGGGGTTGCATGTACAAGGAGATAGAAGCCACTAGACAGAAAAGAACTGAAGGTGGGAGGGACATTCCTTTTGTTCAAACAGCTCAGCTGTCACTCACAACCCTGATTTCATTTATTGACTAAAAACACTGAAAGGCAGGAGCAGCTGGATCATCTCACAGAAATCATGGGTGTATTCTGGTTAAGACAAGTGCCCAAAAGGAAGCCCATCGGTTTCTGATTGTTTCATATTCAAGTGCTAAAGTCAGGATTTCATGGAATGAGATAAAAGTCATCTTGCAAAGGAACATAGATTGGATATTATCAAATAGGAAAATATGGTAATTGGTTGTTTTAAAAGACACCTACTTGTTGTATGAATCAAGAAACTTGTAAAGGAGGTTTCTTTTGAGCTAGAATTCCACTAAAGTTGGTGTGGAACAATGCTTTGATCTAATGTGCAGTAAAACAATAGGAATTAGACAATGGCATGAAGGGGAAGTATCTTGGTTAGCAACATTATCAGGGCTACTTAGTTTAATAAATGTACAGGTCTCATAAATCTACACCATGTATTCATATTTGTTTATTTAGGAGATTCATTTAAACTCCCAGGATGGTTCACAGGAATGAAATATAGCAAAAACAAATCTGGTAAAATACAGCCCATACCCCCAGAGAGCAGCATTATACAATATGCAAGCTAGAACCGTGTGTCGCAGCAATCAAAGTTTTATACATAGTTGCAAGCCCATGACAACTGTTTTGGCAAAGAGAGTGATAAAATTAAGGCTGAGTACTTCCCCACCCCAACTGAAGAGACATGGAATGAGGGCATTAGTTTCCATAGCAATCAGTGCAGCAATTAAGTACCATCTTTGATAAATCTTTGCTGATAGGGTAAGGGCAGTGTCTGCCTGCAAAGGATTCCTGTCTATAATGTCTGCAAGTTTTATCTCCCTCCCTAATTTTTTATTTCTCTTTTGTGGGGATTTATATTGCTTTGAGATTTGCCAAGGTTCATACTCTTCTTTAAAAAACACACCCCAACCCTGAGTTTTATTAGGTAGTTCAGCTGCCTGATCATGCAGAATCTGAATGCTAATGAAGTCCTGTATTTCCTTGAGTACTCAGAGAGCTGTAACTCACCCTTGTCACCTTCCAGTCCATGCCCCCCCCCCCAATTTTTCTTTCTGGTTTTAAATGGCCTGACATTCTAATCCAGATCAATTGTGTGTTGTGCATTTTTCAGGTATAATGCAATGCCACAGAATATTTCTGTGGGTGTGTAGAAGAGGGAAGAGAGTAACCAAGGATGCCCAGAGGGAGGGGAAGCTAAGAACAGGAGGGAAGAGGGAGGGTTTGAATCTGGGAGATAAAACTGGAGGTTCACAGACCGATACAACAGTGCTAGAGTCCCTAAAGAGAATGTTTAAAGCCATAGTTATGGCAAGCGTTCTGTGCTGGTAGCCGTGGCACTTTTATCAATAAACAAAAGCTGGTGTGCAGGAAGATGAATGTTGGAGGAAGATGGAGCCTGGTGGGACAGAGAAGCAGGGACTGGAGGTTGGGATGCGCTAGTGAAGGAGGGAAGAATAGCAGACAAGTTGGGAGGGAAGAAAAACGTGGCTTAGTTTTGGAGGGTGTGTTAGGGACTCTTAGGAAGGGAGAAAAGTAATATTGTTGGTGGGGCAGGTTTTGGGGATGGATTGATTGGGGCAGGAGCTGTGGTCCTCAGCTGTTTGAAGCTTTGGCCATGGGATTTGTTGGCTGCCCTCTAGGCAATGCAACCTAATGTTCCCTATATTTGGATTGTACTGCATCCCACGACACTTCATCCTTCTGCCACACTGACTGTCCCACAAGGTCATGCATTCTCCTTGATCAATTCCCAGAACAATTCCTTTTACGCTCTTTCAGGGATCACTTTTCTTGTTTCCAGGTGCTGTAGTGCCCCAGATGCAACCTGGTAATGTTTAGCACAACCCAGTAATATTTCAAGTGCTGAATTGCACATTTTCTGCCTACATACTAGACGTCAGCTTGCTCATTTTATATGTGCTAAAGATTCAAGGAGTTCATAACTTCAAAATGTTAATAACTCTGACATTTCTCCTTGAATATTTCCCTGTTATTGTAACCCTTTCCAATTCAGCTTTCTGTCCCAGCAACAACTCTGTATTTCATTGCTAATCTGCATTTTTATGGCAGATTTATACATTCAGAAAAAGCATGCCGTGCAGTCCTGCTGAGGGTGCACCACTTTGGAATGGAAATGGAGGGATCATATGAGTTAAGAGTCTTCCCTAATACAAATAATATCCCCCCTTTCTGTCAAAATGCCAGCCTGCCTCTTCTTCTGAGATGCTATTAGTTAGCATTGTGCAGGGAGGCTTTTACAAATTACTCTCAGACAATAATCTCCAGAGTAAACTGTAAGCATCTTGTAAATATGCTTTTATACATTTGAATATGCTTTTGGTGTATTATTTTCATTGACTGTCTCTCGACTCCCTAAATTTAAAAGGTCTTGTGTGGGTTAGACTTAGCCAATTCTCTGGGAGTTCCTATTCTTTTTGTGCTCTTGTGAATGCATATTTGAGCAACTGATCCCTTGATTTATGGTGAAGGAGGGATGGTGCAAACGCACAAGCCAACAAGCTCATGACCACATTTCTCTGTGTTAGGGTTTGGCTATCCCTGGGTAATGAAAAGTGCTGCTGCCTATACATTGTTGGACTACAACTCCCATCATCGCTGACCAGTGGCCACGCTGCCTGGGGGTGATGATAGTTGTAGTCCAAAAAGATCCGGAGGGTTACTCATTGGCTATTCCTGGATTACATCATCTTTCACAGCTGGTCAGTCCTAGTATCAGCCACTGCATTGGACTGTGATGGAATCGGGTCACATTGGCCAAATGGGCGCCCCTCAGGAAGCACCACATGGTCCAAATTTGGTCTCAAAGGCATGCAGCAAGTGCAAAGACCTAAGGCAGCTGCTTTGATATTTATATTCCTCAGACTTGTTCAACCTTTCCCAGCAATAGCTCTAGACAGGTGCAGAACAAAAGGTTTCACTATTCTTAGATTGTTGTAGGTGGAAGGAACATACTGACCCTTTACTCGTCTCAACTCCCTGTTCTTAGCACAAAAATACATTCATCCAAAGCAAGGTCTGCATGAGACGCTCCTGCTTATGTGAGAGGGCTCCATAAGAACAAGATATGTTGTGTTTTTTTTAACCTGGTTCTGAAGCTACTAATAGTGGCCTGGGATTGTGTGCTAAATAATACAGCACAAAAATGAAGCGTTTAGTTCTGAATAATTCTTTATTGCCTTTTTGTGTCTGCCAATAGTCAAGCTCACCACAAACCCATCTGCCATCAACAGTCACTTGCTGCAAACTTGCTGCACAATTCAGAGCAGTGTTTATAACATTTAAAGCCCTAATGGTTTAGGACTATAGCTGCCAACGTTTTCACTTTTTAAAGGGAAATTCCCTTATTCCGAATAGGATTCCTCGCAAGAAAAGGGAAAAGTTAACAGCTATGTTTTAGGACCAGGGTATTTAAAGGACACACAAATGTGACTACTCATTAAGATTGCCTGGAGAAGTTTGTCCCCACATCCCTTCAGCATCTCTGACATTGGAGATGAACTCCCCGCCAAGGGAGGGGCTCCTTGCTCCCACTCCCAATGATCTTCCATAACCAAAAAGGCTGACCATGTCTTTTTTAAATGCTGCAATGTTTTACTCTTTTCAATGCTGCAAGCCACCACAAATCTTAAAAAAAGCAACAAATAAAATGGGAAGGTGGAGTGTCAATATTCTGAGAGGGAGGAAAAGAAAAACACCCTCACCGAATTCCAGGGAAAGTCTCCTTTGGCTAAATCTAAAAACACATCATAATTGTGCTTGGTCTGCAACAGAAGACGTAAAAGGAGGTGGTGAAGGCTTACAAGATGCACTTGGCTGCTTTTGAATGAACCGTGCATTGTTTCTTCCTTCTCACAATGCCACTAACAGTTACACGCTTGGTAGCACATAGGTCCTTACCATCAAGTGCCAAACAAGACAAAATCTTCAAAATACTCTTCCAGTGTGAAACCAGCAGAAGTCAAAGGAGATGCAGCAGCAATTTTTGGTTTATAATAAGAAAGCAAGGTGGGAGAGGGACAAACCCAGGTTTTATAGATGATGCATAGAGAAAAATGCACATCATCAGGGCCTCAATTTAGAGGGGAAATCGACATAAAAACCTGGGGATATTGGATGTGGTATTCATTTAATTTCCATGCTTAGTTAAGCACTGCAAAGTGTGATAAAGACTGCAGTCTATTAGGCTGATTGTTAATATAAGTCATTTAACTGTGAGATGCTGCATATGTCAGTAGACTAATATTAGCCCTCTTTTGCAGGTCACTATTCTCATCAGTCTGGCTCTTGCGTTCCTCGCCTGCATAGTATTTCTTGTGGTATACAAAGCTTTTACCTACGACCACAGTTGCCCAGATGGATTTGTTTATAAGGTAAGAAGTCTGAGATGGATGAACTGTCTCTGCTAATGACAGAATCTAATTCACCGCACGGCTACAATTTAGTCCTGCATTTTCGCATCAGGATCAAAGACATCATTTGTCAACAACATGCTGAAAAGCAGTTAGTGATTTAGGAAATAGGGGTTGGTAGCACCCTCTGCCAACCACAATTATTTTGAACTTGACAGGTTTAGATCTGCATGAAGCCAACCCCACATATTTCTAAATGAGCTCACATAAACTGGCCTTTAGAGTTCGCTCACTATGAAGATTAGCCACTGAACATTTTGGGATAGAGACTGTGTGCAGTGCATTTTAGAGGCTTGGTGGCAACTCTCTGTAGATGCTGGATGTGTGCCCTTGGGGAGAAACGTGTGCTTATTCTAGCAGGATATTTGTCTTGAGGGTTGAGGCAACATAGGATATAGAAAAGAAAAGGTGGTGGTTACCATGCCAGTCCTCTAAAATGAGAGGGATTTAGTAGGAAGAGGTGATTTATTTTGCTGGATCAACTTGTGGATGAGGTAAGCTGGAAGAGCAAATTTCAAAGTCTCATCATAACTGGGAGTGGGGGAGGGATGAGGGAGTGAGGTTGGGGAAGGTTAAGTATGGACAGGTGTGAAATGAACACCTGCCACCCAGTGAGTTTTCTGGTTGACTGGAGATCTGAACCTGTTTTCCACATCCTAACAAGACAATCTGGCACACACTATATTTTATTCTAGAATCAATGGAGACTGTGTACACTACTTGCTTTTTCTATGCAGTCCACGCAGATCAGATCTGTTGCTTTTGGGGGGTGGGGGGCTGATTTCATTTTGAAAATAAAGGCTCAGCTCAGCTGGTTAGAGCATGGTGTTGATAATGCCAAGGTTGCAGGTTCGATCCCCATATAGGACAGCTGCAGGGGGTTGGACTAGATGATCCTCAGAGTCCCGGCCAACTCTATGATCTATTGACTTCAGACTGATTCTGCATTACCCCGCAGAGTGTCCATTTGAAAACGGATGTAGGTGGTCCTGGCAATGGAGGATATAGCCACACCTTTCCAATGATGTTGTCAGTGGGCGTTTACCAAGATTTCAATCACCATGTACATGTGAAGGGAGTAAAAGGCATGGATAACCTAACTGAGGGGAGGTTTTCAAACATGTAACAAGTCACCACCCACCCACCCACCCTTGTGGATGGCAGGATCTAGAATCAATCTCGATTGAAAGCATCATGTTGAGGTTGAGCATGAACAATTCAGGACATGAAAAACTTCACTTTTTGTGCTACAAACGGGTTAGTGTGTGCAGCCTCTGTCCCTTGCCCTGATACTGAATATATTGGGAGGGAGGGAAATGTTCAGAATTTCCTGGATCAATGCAGGATGAATAATGTTTATTTTTTAAAAAAAGTTTCTGTAAATGAGATTGCTACTTGATGGTCATGCTTCTCTTCCTTCCCTTCAGCATAAGCGGTGCATTCCAGCCTCCCTGGATGCTTACTATTCCGCTCAGGATTCCAACTCCAGGGGCAGATTCTACACCGTCATCAGCCACTACAGCATGGCCAAGCAAACCAGCTCACGGTCCGTCTCTCCCTGGCTTTCCTCCGGATCGGTAAATCACGAAGCCAAGGCCGCCAAGACAGAAGGCCATTAAAGCCAGCTGGTGGCCTAGGGATGGAGGGGAACGGGGAAGAACAACATCATGTCTCTAAAGCATTGCTCTAGTTCAGCGAGGGCACTGGGCAATCAGTGCAGCAAGAATAAAGCAACTCCAAGTGCAGGTGTCATCTTAATGGATATTTCCCTCTCTTTCTTCTCTCTCTCTCTTGCTCTTTCACTCTTTCTCTCTCCCCCCTCCTTTGGTGCATTGTTCTCGTTGATTTGTAACTAAGTCAAAATCCTGTACAAAGGCATGTTAGGTGTTGACTATATCTTAACAATGTACAAATATTTTTAAAATCATTGCTTAAGATTTGTTAGAAAAATGAAAAAAATAATGAAAAAACACACAAACAAAAGCAAATCCAGAGGACATTTGCGAGGAAGTAGAAGAAATCACAAGCATAATTTCTCAGGCCTTCCTTGCCCGCCCCCAAAGGGAAAACAGCAACAACACACAATACTGTGGAATTTGTCTGTCAGATTAAAAGGGAAACTTGTGTTGATGGAGGGACACAATAGAATGTTACACTAGGCTGGGCAAAAGGGCATGAGCTCTAGCCCAACTTAGGGCTTTACAGATCTGATCTATAAAATGAAGATGGATGCGGAAGCCCTTGATGCAATGCATTCATTGGAGTCCCCTGCATGTGCAATGACCTGGTGGATCATGGCTTCCATTTCTTTGGTTTCTCTCTCAGAGGGAAATACTGAGGAAGGGCCATAGCTCAGTGGCAAAGCATTTGCTCTGGATGCATAAAATCCCAGGTTCAATCCCCAGCATCTCCAGATAGGGCTGGAAATGTCCCCTGCCTGAAACCCTGGAAAGCCACTGCCAGTCAGTGTAGACGGTCCAGAACTAGGTGGATCAGTTGTCTGACTCAGTAAAAGGAGACTCCTTATGTTTGTGCCAATTCACATGTCTATATTGACTAACAAACTGAGTTTAAAATGTTCACCCCCACCAGGCCACAATTGAGCTGGTCTGATGGCAACCTTCTTGCTTTCTAAAATACCTGTCCTATTAGATGTCGGAAAAGCTGAAACAAGAATATCTGAAATGACCTCTTTCTGCTTCAGAGGCCACAGGAGGATTGATTCTCCAGTGCAGTGAGCAGTATTTTGAGGAAGATAAGCCCCTGAAATTAGCTTATTCTGTAGATAATTAGTAGCTTACAAGAAAGGTTCTATGAACACAATCCAGAGGTGAGCGCCTCTCAGACTTGCAAACCTAAATGGGTTTTTTCCTGCTCTTTCTGCTTCAGCTGTTCCTCACCTCATTCAACCTCCAATTGTCTTATTTTTCAGACAAAGTGATTATTTTATATAACCCCCCCCCACATAATCTGCATGTTACTTGGAGCTGTTGTGGAAAGAACAGGCAGACAAACCCCTTGTGTACCATATGCATGTTTTTCCTTGCTGGACCATAGCTAGATTCCTTAGAATGATATGTTTTAATCCCTCTAGAGTCATATTTTTGCCTTGAGCTATGAAGCCAAAAGCTAAAATACCCAACTATTACCATGTAGATGGCAAAGAGACATGGAGCCACTTTGCATATACCATTCCCCACTCACAAAGAAATAGTCTAATTCCTCGGGGTGGGGGGAAGCTGAGTCTGGATAGCTCAGTTAGTTAGAGCCTGGTGCTGATAATGCCAAGGTTGCAGGTTTGATCCCCACATGGGGCAGCTGTAGATTCCTGCATCGCAGGGGGTTGGAGCAGATGATCTTCAAGGTCCCTTCCAACTCTACAATTATATAAGTCTATAAGTGTTTATTTTGCCAAGAATACTTGGCTGCTGCATCTAGCAATCTGGTTTATACTGGGTCAGAGCACTGGTCCATCTAGCCCAATGTTGTCTGCTCTGACTGTTAGCAGCTCTCTGGGGTTTCAGGCAGAAAGAGAGAGAGCTCTTTCACATCATCTGCTACCTGATCCTGTACTTGGAGATGTCAGGGACTGAACCCAGGACCTCTTGCATGCAGATGATTTGTGCTACCACTGAGCTATGGTCTCACCATTTTCCTGCATAAAAGCCAACCTTTAATTGGTAAGACTTCAGGAAAGGGTGTTCATTTCCCATAAACAAGTCTTGCTAGGCTTGTCATTGGTGGGACGGAGACAAGTATATTTTGACCACATCAAGAAGAGTGGATTCCATGCCAGTCTCCGCCACCAGCTGACTGCACAAAACCACCTCGTTGTGAAAACAAAGTACTTGTGTGAATTGACCCTTAAGCCCAATATACTTTACATGGTTTGGAGCAGGGGTGCTGCTTCCTTGGAGTGGATAGTGGTCATCAGGGCAGGGTTTGGCAGCATTTCTGGCTTCCTAGTGTGGAGGTTGCTGCTGGTAACTGAGAGGGAGAGGGTCGAGGCAGCTGGGAGGTTGGCACGGTGTGGATGCAGCGGCAGGAACATCACATCAGCTCTGCTGCTGAACCCGCAACCACACTCGACTTCACTGACACCTCCCCTCTCGGTTAGCAGCAGTGATCTCGTTGGGAAGCCTGCTGGGCAAAGCTGTCCCCTGCCACTGGATGCTACTGCTTGCATTATCAAGTAAACGTCAAGGCTTACTAGCACCACCTTAGATGCCCAGATCATATGGGCACTTCCATGCAATTTGATGCCGGTGCAGGAAGTCCCAGGGCATAGTTTGAGGGCATGTAATGCAACCTCCTTGTTAAAGCTAAGCAGGTCTGGGTCTGGTCAGTGCCTGAATGGGAAACTGCCTAGGAACTCCATGTTCACTGTCTTATGATGGATCACGGAGGGAAAGCAGGTTATAAACATACTGAAGAAATATTACAACTTTTTTGAGTGAATGATCATTAAATTAGATGTGCTGGAATTTGCTTGGGCGTGGTCAACGGGAGCAACGTCTCGATGATTATGCCCAAAGTGAACCAAATTAAAAGGAAAACTAAGCAAAGTGAAATTGAATCAAACCCAATCAAAGTGTTATGCTGACTGCAAATGAGAGTCCTAAAAAATGAACTCGGAAGTCAGATATCTTATTTAAGTCAAATATGTATATTTTGTTTGCAAAAAAAAAAAAAAAAGTCCATTGAGTTGGAGCTGGAGTACAAAAGGAGTTATGATAAATGGTTGTATAATGTAGCCAAAACTGTAGTGCCAAATCTCATTGTCTGACTTTTTATCCTTATCTCTCTACCCCCTTCCTGCTTCATACTTCACCTGTAAATCCATTTCTCACCTGAAATGTACAAATCCATGGGGAGGGGGGGTTAAGCCCCCAACAACAATGCCCAGAACAACTACTGGACAATTTATAATTTTGTGGTGTATTGTATGTCAGTAGGTAGAAGAGACTGAAGTATTTTTGGTGTAGTTCTTGACCTTTTCTGACAGGACAAATAAAGCTAGATGTGTCTGAGAGTCTCAGCTACTATGGTACGGTTATATTTATTTTCTTCACTTAAAAGATGGGGGAGGCAAATAAAATGTGGGTGAATTAGTGTGCTTGGAACTGCAAAGCACTGATTGCTCACATTTGCCTTCTCTCTCTCTCTCTCTCTCTCTCTTTCAAAACATGATGGGCTGGCATAGGGATGTAGGAAGCTGCCTTATATCGAAGATTCGGTACGATTCTTTCCTTGCCCTACCGGGAGATGCCAGAGATTAGACCTGGGACATTCTGCATGTAAAACATGTATTGTCCCACTGAGCTATGGGATTCATGAGCAAACATGCATAGGGTAGTACTGCACATTGCAGCAACCAAATGTAACTGAGTCCACAATTATTACTCATCTAGCATGAACCCAGTGGCACTTGTGCCCAGGAGATTTGCTGCCTCTGCTCAATGCATAGGCCAGCCCATTGTCAAGTAATATGTTGTGAACCACCCTGTAATACTTGGATGTAGAGCAGTATACAAATTGGGGGGGGGGGGTTGTCACACCATGATGTGACCTTTTCAGTTGACAGCTAGGATTATTTACTGCATCAGGCTGCCTGCTGGTCCTGAAACCTTTCTTTCCTCTGACATGCAAAATAAGAAGGGCTGCATTCATAAGAAATCATTGCCTTGTGAAACTGATAAGCTTCAATTACTTTATAGCATCAGAAGTGAATGCCAGAATGGACCTTAGCACAAAAGGTCAGTCGCAAAAAGATATCACAGTCTTGCCACAATCTTATCAGTGTTGCTGCTTAATTCCAGGATGATTAGCAGACATTTAGAACCAAGCTAAAAGTCTGCAATGCAAGGCAGTTCTGCTTGATGAGTCATCGGCAATGATTGAGAGATGATAAAATTGTCCCTTTGAATCAAACAATCATGTCATGAAAACAGAGTTATATAAACCAAAGAAGTTAGGTTTCAAAATTAAGCATAGTGACAAGGTCGCTGTCTGTGGCAAAACTCTTTCAACTTTCATAGAGGAGATTACTTCCTCAGAACTCTAGAATGATAGAGCTTTAATTTCCCTAGAGATCCAGTAGAATTGACCTAAGGTGGCTACAGGCTTAAAAAACACTCTGCCCTCTGGTGACATGGAGGACTCAAAAAATGGAAGAAGGAAATTAAAAACCCATCAACAGGTGCAAATAATTGGGCTGTTTGTCCAGCTGTGCCACTCTGCTCACAGAAGGCTTTTCAATCCCATGGAGGCGTCTCTGAAAGGAAGGCAAAAGGAGGCCATTTCTGTTGAATTTATTCCAGAAGAACACTTTATGGGAGACAGCACAGAGAAATGGTGGAATTTGTGAGAATCACACACTGTCTTCCATTTGCGGAAGTCCCTGCTGGAGCAAAGAGCCTTTCATGAGTGGAAGAACACATTTGAGCACACTTCTGATTATGGAAAGTTAGAAGGTGAGGCTGCAGCTCCATTAATGATTTTGCAGGCAAAGGACAATAGATCGGAATAGGTGTCATGTTTAAGGTATGGAGGAGAAATATAGCTGCTTTGAAGAGTACAGTGAATCACCTGTGTGGAAACTAATCAGCCTGTTTCAATGTGGTTGTCATGGAAGCTAGTGTGGGAAACAATCTTTCTGAATTGCTGTGTGAATCAACTTTTATAAAGGCTGCTTAGGGCAGAACTATGAGGGGAAGGACTGCAGCTCAGTGGCAAAGTGCAATGTGAAAACGGCCCCTCAAAAGACAAAGAACAGGTGCCCTCAAGGAGGTGCAGAAGGCCTTTCCCTTATTGCAAAGCAGGGATGGGGAGCCTGTGGCTATTCAGAGGGTGCTGGGCTGCATCAGCTGAACGTACCTCCCAAATAAGGATGCTTCAGATGTCAGCTAACTGATACCTGACTCCCAACAAGTGTTCGGTCTGTGTCTAAAGTTTCTCATGTCCCAATGAAAAATATCCCATTCTCATATCCCAGACAAAAGAACATCAAAAAGCATTCTTTGTTATTCTCTGTTTGAAATTCCTTTTAAAATGTAGAACAGCCAACCGTAAGAGAATAGATTATCTTGTCAAAATTGATACAATATCCCAGTTACCTTACCAGTTGCTCAATGAAAGTATAATGTGAACACTTTCCAAAAGGATAATTCTGATTTGCAAGTAATACATGGACGACAATGTAAACGCGTGTTAGAAATGGAGTTTTGTAAGGTTTTCCCCTCCCTAACCCCACTGCAGAATAAATAGGTGGAGGAGGACTGCTTCTAATTTTCATTCTGCTTCATATTTTTATGGACTCCACTTCCCCAGCCACCAGCAGAAAGTCTCTGTGGCTCAGTGGTGTCTCTCTATGACATTATTAAAAGGGAACATTTTTCTATTTTCAGCAACACTTGGGATTCTATAAGTGCCACACTTTTGACTTTCATATTGAGTATTCATAATAACTTGACAAAAAGAAATTGAGACAGTGGAGGGACCCAGACCCTTGAAATAACTGATATTGCTGTCAGGGGCTGTTTCTGTGATAGGTCATGCCCATTTAAAATGTAGAATAATTGGGATCCCTTGACTCAAAGCAGCACTGGCTGAATTTCTCAGCATCTAATTTCTCTGCAACAGCAAACTGCCAGGGCAGCCTGTTCTTCATTGGGTGGTCCTGGATAAATACTGTAGAATGATGGAACCTTTAACACATAACACACACACACACACACACACACACACACACACACACCCTCTTGCATTGTCATTATTTTCCCAAATAATAGAACCAAGCACATGCCTCATTACAGCAAGAGCTTTTTTGTCTCCAAGGTAAGTGAAGAATTCTAATTTGGCTTATGGAGTTAGGAATGGTTGTACCCACCCCATTGCCAAGTGCCAAAGACATTGCATCTTCCTCCCTCCTCCTGGGAAATATTTATTTATTTATTGGTTTCGTAAGTTTTATATAGCACTTATTAGAATAGAAGACCTAACAGTGGTTTACAATACACAACTCCCCAAAATAATTAAAAATATCAACAAATCAAGTGATGTTTTAAAGAGTTGTTTAAATAAAAAAACACAACCAGCAATTATAAAACACCTATGCTTATTACTATCATGTATCAAGATGACAGGTTAAAGTTACGTGGCTGGAATAAAGCCGTTTTTTGCAGGTGCCACAAACAATTGTTTAGTATCATTGGTCAGGAACAAGAACTTTGTTGTCTCTTTTAAACTAGAACAGAACAGCAACAGGAAATTTCTGACCTTGTGCTTCCTAGTACCTAAACTACAGAATGGCACTATCCACGCAGCTGCCATGCAATGAAATGGTCAACTGGCAGGTGAACCCTATCTTCATTGAAGGCTTCCTGTCTATCTTCTCATATAGCATATTGTATGAATGTTGTAAAAAGGGGAAATCTGATTTATGACCCAACCTCATACCCTTTAATGCAATGCTACAAATGGAGCTTGGGCAGTAAATTTTGGGTGTAACATTCTTCCTTATATTCCTGGAATCACTTCTCTGCAGTGGGTGGTAGTGATGATTATAAATATAAATATAAATATAAATATAAATATAAATATAAATATATAAATAATATAAATATAAATATAAATATAAATATAAATATAAATATAAATATAAATATAAATATAAATATAAATATAAATATAAATAATTTCATGTGGTGTTAATGTCTTCACCAAAGCACCACATATTCTTGCAATCACAGACACCATGTGGACAGTTTTGAACTGGTGTAGCAGATAAACCAGTCTACTTGACTCCTGGGCATTAAAAATAAATTCAAGCTCCCCCTCAATGTGAGACACAAATCCAAAATAGCAGCATATGCAAAAATGCAATATGGAGGAGTACATTGTCATTGGAGGCTCAGGTTACTAGGAGTGCCTATATCAGGCTCTGGGTGGTTTGCCAGCTCTGGCACCTTTTGGACAGAGAGGACTTGGTCATTTAGTCTAGGCTAGGGTAACTTTCAGGCTGGATTATTGCAATACAGTTTAAATGGAACTGCCCTTGAAGATCACTCAGAAACTTCAACTTATCCGAAATGCAGAAGGCTGGGGTTCAGTTTAGAGCCCACATAACACCTGATTTTAAACAGATGCATTGGTTACCATATATATATAATATATAAATATATAAATATATTGGTATGACTCTCTCTCTCTGTAGAGAGAAAACTGTGTGAACTGATTTTGTATTTTTAAATTGCTGTTACTCATCCTGGGACCTTATTGGTGAAGGGTGGGTAAGAAATCAAATCAAATCAAATTCATTCATTCATTCATTTCCCTCCTCTACTGAATGAGCCCAATCCTCTGTCTTTTCTGTAGCAAGCAGAACCTTGGAGGCAATGGATCTGTAAGCCTTAAACATTTGCATTTAGAAAGGCAAAGAAGAGGCTGTACAAGACTGTTGCCAAGTACAGAGAGCAAACCCTGATGTGAGCCCTAAAAAAACCGAGAACTTGTTATAACTGAGCGGAACCTCAAGCAGTGAAGGCAAATGATAATAAGAAAGCAGATAACTCGGTCTACTCTCATGGCTTCCTCTTTCCACTATTGCTCAACTCTGTCAAGAGTATGCAGAATGTAATTAACTGTAACAATTTGGCTGTGTTTAAGAAAATAAATAAAAAACCAGGGAGCAGCTCAGATAGAGTAGACTGCTAATTGGTTCTGAGTTGCAGGGAATTGGTTTGGACAATGCAATGCAACCTGCATGAAAATGCAGGTCCTTCAGGGTTGGTCCTCACCCTCTGCCCTAAAACATCAAACTCTACTTCTGCTGCTTCACAAATGAAATCAGAAGGGAAATCTAAACCAACTTATTTATGGTGGTGGTGTTTTTTAATTGATTTGCACTGATGTGTTGGGAAATCAGTCAAAGCAACTGACAAATGACCCCTTGGTTTGATATAGATTCAGCACAGAATCAAATTGATTACAGGCAGTTTCATATGTTTTGCTAGCAGTTTCTACCTAATTAGAAATCTTTAAAGCAGAAAAAACTCCTTTGTAGACTGTAGCCCTGTTCAAGGGGTGTGGAAATGACATGAGAAGATGGAAACCAGGGTCACACATGCACACAGCACTGCCAATTTGCCCCTGCTATTGAGGGGGCTCAATTTACAACAGCATTTCCCCCCTGCTCTGGTACCAGCTGGGAGTCAGCGAATGATCTAAAAATTCAGTTTGAGTTCTCTTCAGTGCACTTCCTAAAAAAGCCCTAGATTCAGTGTGTACTAAAAAAGAGATCATTATAATAGAGATGAAATGCTCCTGTGCTTCCCCTCAGAAGGAATGTCTTCATTTTCCTCACTAGCAGCCATTTTGCTTGCTTTTCAGGGATACTCTTTCCCCTCACTTTAAATGGAACAGCCACACAGACGTTGTACTCATTTTTGATGCTGAGATGTATAGAGAAACAAGAGACAAAAGGCTTAGGATATGTGGGGAGGGGCAGTGAGGGAAGCCCCCACTACCAAAGATTTGCTTTGTGTTATTCGCTGTAAGAGATTTTCCTAGCAGGTGACTCTCCATGGAAACTTGAGTTTGCTAAGCTGATGGCTAGGCCTAGAAAATTGTGAGAGGAGGAGGAGGAGGAAACCTTCTCTCCAAGCTGCTTCTTGCATGATGACTGAGGTAAACAAATGTGCTACCTTGAGACAAAATCATTGCAACAGTCCTGCAAGTGTGTATATGGTAGATTATATAGTGCTGAAACAATATGTCCCTGCTCCCTTAGCCATCCTGACATGCAGGATATGATGTTATGGGGGACTTTTCCAGACCCCTCAAGTGTCCTGAATTTACATAAGCTGCCATGGCTTCTGAACACGTTCCGGGATGCCCCAATTTCCCCAGAATCTGCTCCAGGCCGTGCTGTGTTTACTGATGCAGTGCAGACTGGGGTGACCTTCCCAGGGCCACTCTAGGACTTGTGGCGTCTCTGGTTGTTGTGGGCAGTGCTTTTTTCTGGGGGTACTCAAGTGTACACAGTACAGACACCTTTTTTCCTATGAGAAAATCTCTGGTTTAAAATGTGGCACTTACTGTAACAACTTCATGGTGAGTACCAGCACCATTTTTTCTAGAAGAAAAGCACTGGTTGTGGGGATTAAATGAACCCTGAATACCACCTAGAACTCATTGGATGAAATTATGGGATATAAATGTAGTAGTGGCAGTAATACCCTATGCAGCTGAGTCTCCACCCTTGAGTTATTACCGTATTTTTCGCTCTATAACACGCACCCGACCATAACATGCACATAGTTTTTAGAGGAGGAAAACAAGAAAAAAAATATTCTAAACGAAACAGTGGATGTATGATTTTTGTGGTTCATGCTGTGGCCAGACATGTGATCTGACAGTGAGTTTGGAGTAGCCCAATGCAAAAATCCTGAGGATCCATGTGGATCCATGCTTTGTAACCACGTTTTTGCACCACTGCGGCCCCAGGCAACAGTGGGTGCGTGATTTTTTTGGTGCAAGATGTAGCCACGAACATGCTATGTGATCTGATGGTGAATTTGGGGTGACCCAGTTCAAAAATCCTGAGGATCCATGTGGATCCATGCTTTGTAACCATGTTTTAAGTGGGGAAGGAAGGAAAAGCACTCAAGGGACAAGGAGCACACGTGGGGTGTGTGGAGAAGGATGCTGCTAATAATGCAGGAGAGGGGTTTAAGGGGAGAAGGAACATGCGTGGGGTGGGTGGAGAAGGATGCTGCTAATAATGCAGGAGAGGGGTTTAAGGGGAGAAGGAGCATGCGTGGGGTGGGTGGAGAAGGATGCTGCTAATAATGCAGGAGAGGGGTTTAAGGGGAGAAGGAGCATGCGTGGGGTGGGTGGAGAAGGATGCTGCTAATAATGAAGAAGAGGGGTATAAGGGGAGAAGGCTCCTCTCCTCTCCTGCTTTGCTCCTTTAAAGCAAGCAGGCTCTGCTTTTCTCCCTCCTCCCCGCTCCTCCCCGGCTTAGCGAGCTGAAAAACTTTGCTGCTATTTAGCGAGCTGAGTGGGGAGGAGAGAGGGACAGAGAGCCTGCTTGCTTTAAAGGAACCAGCCGGACAGGAGCCCGCTTTGCTCCTTTAAAGAAGCAGGCTCTCTGTCCCTCTCTCCTCCCCACTCTGCGGCTCTTCTCCCGCTTTGCTGTTTCAAAGCGAGCCACGGAGGAGGGAAGGAAGGGGAACCATGGATCCTCTGCTCACACCTGCAGCAGATACCCCCCCACCCATAGGCATTCCCTCCATAACATGCACAGACATTTCCCCTTACTTTCTAGGAGGAAAAAAGTGAGTGTTATGGTGCAAAAAATACGGTAATTCACATTGTTAATTGAGAGCACACCTTTGAAATGACACTTCAAACAATGAATTGCCCTTGCTCAATCCCACTACTTGTTTATTTCATTGTTTCCATTCTTCATTTCTCCTACTCTGCGATTAAAATGTAGTGGTTGTGATGTCATATAAGCCAACAGGCTGCCCAGTGCTGCCATGTTCTTTTCTTGAACTTGACAGAACTTTCTGTTGCTTGTAGTAATTCTATGAAGTGTCTGGAAAATGCAAGAGAAGTCACTAAGGGTATTGAAGGAAGTGAGAAGTCAGACCAAGGAAGTAGTGAAATGAGAGTTGAGCCAGGACTGTAGTTGGATAGTGTTCTATCTATCCATTCTTATTTCTTTGTTTTGTGACATTGACTGTGGTTTGTTTTATTTGTGTGTTATTCCAAAACATGTCTTAGTGAATATTTATGAACCGTGTTCCACTGAAAGTATAATACAGAACAATATTATGTGCCATGAAGTGAAAAGCAGAAAATTAATTAGAAACAAAAAGTGTTGTTTAATAATGTAATAGAAAAACAAAGGTGACGCAAGTTACTAATTAACACATTATTATGCATTTAGCTCTGTTGTATTTTCAGACATAGTCATATTTATTCAAGTGAATTAATAGGGCCCCCAAATGAGCTGTGCACAGGGTTCCATGGACCATAAGTCCACCACTGGGTCAATCTAGAGATGGGGCTGTGCCATGTCTTATGATTGTTGCCTAAATGGCTGGCTGTGAGCAGTCGCTGACACTTAGCCATTTAAGATATAAAAATGTGTGACTGTCTTATTCCCTTAATGCAGAGTACATAATATAACCAACATGACCGCAGTTATAAATCAGCAGCGAGAGAGGGGCATGAGTGGTGAAATATCAAGATGAGGATGGAGTTCTAAAAGAGCTAAGAGTTCGTGAGACATGAAATGGCCTGTCTGAATGAGGGGCTTTTGGGTCACTTTACTGCTATTTTGTTAGGACCTGGCAAGTTCAGGAGTTGAAGATTAAAAGAGAACAGCTGCATGTAGCTGCCCAACGTTTCAGTGGAATGAGCAAAGCCAGTCGCTCAAGAAAAAGCCTGCACTGCAGTTCTGTTCTGTCTTCATTTCAAACTCTGTAAAATTCTATTTCCACCAGAGCTGCCTTCACGAGTGTTTCTGCAATGAACACACAAGCAGGCATCATTCAAGATAACACCAAAAGGCAGTTTTCCAATGTCCCACGGCTTCAGAAAGCTTATTTTTGAATTCCATTACATATAGTCATTCCAGAATTCAAAACATGTGATTCATTTCTAAAAGGCTCTGCATTCATAAGAAAAGCCAGGTTGGCAATAAATGCACGTTGCAAATTTTGGACATTGTGTTTACTTCATTCATTTGTGCTCATGTGAGCCAGGCTCACCAGCTTAATAATTCAGCCACTAACAAGAAAGGTCTATGATTGTCAAAGACCTTTTGAAGGATCATTGACCATACCCTTTCCAGATTCTCTCCTGGGTCTTCTTCTGACCAGTTAGAAGATTTCAGATTCTATCCACTCAACCATTTATTTGTTAATTATGTGCATTTAATTTTTCACATGAATAAGTTGCTTTTTTCAGGTTTGCACAAGGAACCTACAGAATTTGAGCATGATTATTAGCTTGTCTCCTAACGTTCCTTCCATACATAAAATAGCGTTAATCATATTCACGCAGAACAGGGGTTTCTTTCCTCCCTGCTGCACTTCCTGGGCCCCTCCCTTGTGCTCTGCACCCTGGGCTCCTATGGGGTGGGAGTACCCTTGGAAATGGTGTGAGACATGATGCATGGGGGCTGCAGATGGAAAAAGCTCTCACCAGAAATCACCCCCTTCCCTACTTGAGTGGAAGGGTTCTGGGATTGCAAACACCTTGCAGTAAAAGACAGGTAATGAAAGTATCACGCAGTGAACAGGGGCTATCAAAAAGTGTAAAATTAAACAGTTCATGCAAATGCTAGTCAACATGGTGACCCCAGAAATTGTTAGACTCCAGTTCCCATCAGCCCCAGTCAATATGGCTTGTGGTCAGGGATGATGGGAGTTGTAGTTGTCTGTCACTTGCTTACTCTGTAACTAGGAAGCCAAAAACCAAAACAGGTGCAGCTTATTTTCACAAAAAATAAATGTTAATCTTTTGTTGCACACCAATACAAAAATGAGAAGGGTGCAAACCAGTCAGAGTTAAATATTCCCAGATCTCATTTGTTTTCAGTGGAAGATGTCAGTGATGCTGAGCACACATTCCAGAGAATAAATTACGAGATAACAAGGCAAATGGCTCATGCTTGGGGCACTGAGGAGGTAGAAAGTGTGTCCGGGTTTGGGGGCAGATTTTCTAGTCCTGGAAAGGAAGGGGAAGAGTTGCTGAATCTCCAACAGGTTCCAACAGGGCTATACTTTCTGGGACCTTACTTGATAAGGTGATTTGTCTCCATTCATTCAATGGCATAGAGCCCCCATGAGCAATATGCATATAATGAGGGAGGTACCAACTGTTACCTTAAGTACTCCAATAACTCTAATTCAGGAGTGACTGCAAAGCTTTCTTGTCAAAATGGGAAGAGAGAAAAGGGCCAAGCCTGCTCCTACTGAAACTCTTGGCGATCTAGATGTCAAACACATTGGTGGCCAGCAATGATGTCCCAGGACATCTTGGCAGCTAGTGTATTGAAACTTCACCAGTATTTGGTATTGCATTGGCAGCCATGGGTAATGTAGTTAGCCTCTCAACAGAAGGAAAGAAGACTGCGACTCCTCTCACCCACCCAAGGTGGACCTCCAGTCTAGGCCCATTTGCCCTCTGCAGGTCGCGAGTCCCACGAGAACTTGGCAAAAGGAGGAAAGCAATGAAAAGAAACGAGAGAACCAAGGAAATAGTTCTTGTTCTCTTTGATGTGCCGCATGGTGATGGATGTCACCCAGCTGCTAATCAAAAGCGATTTATAGGATATTAAAGAACATTTGCACTGTTGCTAACTACAGGAGACTCCAAATGTGCTTGGGCTGTCTGTCTCCCTCAATTAAAGTCAATGGGAACCATGTACATATTTCACTCCTAGCATGGCCAGCTGATGCAGAGGTTATGAGCGCTTTAGAAGGAAGCAGCCCATTACACTGAAAATGGGGCTGTTTCCTTGGCTCAAGAGAGGATGAAAAGAGGCAGTCAGGCTATGTTATTCTCATCCATTGAAAGCAAAAAGAAGCCTCTCCCAGCACTGGTTCTGCCTTTGAGCCATACAAAATTCCCTTTTTTAAAAAAGCGTTTCAATGAAGCCACAAGGTTGGTAGACAAGGACAAAAATGACACTTGAGTACTTTAATTGCCCTTAGTACATCACAACTTCTTGGCTCCACCCTTTGGGCAGATTAGGCATGTGGACAGTCTGTAGTCTTTTGCTCTTGCACTTGGCAGATTCATGTTCATCACTGAAGTCCAAGCTTGTGACATTTAATATTCTCTGCAGCTGAGAACTTGGTGAGAGGTTCTCCCTGCATGCATAATGTTGATGGTATTCTAGTTGCTTCCAATAAGGATGTAATGCAAGTGCTCTCATTAATGGATAATGGGCATGGCACAGAGACAAACTCTTGCATGGTCAAGAAACCCAGTGATGAAAATCAGCAGTTGTCTTAGAATCATAGAACTGCAGAGTTGGAATGGATCCCTCTTGACTGGGAGACAGCAAAATAAATCTCACTGGGAGGCAACTTTGCCATGACAACAACCCTGTGAGGTAGGTTAGGCTGAGAGTGAGTGACTATCCCAGTAAGCTTCATATCTGAGTGGGGATTTGAACCCTCATCTCCCAGATCGTAGTCTGGCACTCTATCCACTGCAACACACTGGCTCTCAGGTGAATGTTTCTAAAGTTCTTAGTGTGCAAAGCAGTTTATTTCTTTGATAATGTTATGATGCTGCTTACATTAAAAGAAATCTCAAAGGGTTTTATAAGAATAAAATACTGTACAGATTAAAATAATTTAAAACAGGGATGCCAATATCATAAGTAAGAGTTCTAGTGGTCCAGAAAAGCCAAGCAAACAAACATGCTTTTATTCAGTGGCAGAAGCACCCAATGGTTGACGCCTCGCAATAACAGGGCTTGGGGAGGGTATTCCAGAGGGAAGGTGCTACAACAGAGAAAGTCTGCTTTTGTACTCGTGTTAGGCTGAGAGAACAATTACATGTCTTTCCAATTAATAGCAGCCACTAGCTCACTCTGCCACTGAGCCACAGGAACTAGGACAAGCTCTGCACCAAATTATGCACCTGTGTTTTAAACCAGTCCTAGTTTCTGAACAAACTTCAAGGGCTGCTCCACACAGAGTGCCTTGCAGCAGTCTAATCTGAGTATTACCAGGGCATGAATACATAGAGAGTTCTGCCTGGGACACCTCTCATTCTACTAGCACTGCTGGTAATGGTGGCTTACCAAGAGTATGAGTGGCTGCTGCAAATATAATGGTCATGTAAAGGGGCTTTTCAAGAGACTGCCTTGGTTGAGTTTCTTCCCCACAGAGTTCATGGCTAAGTACAGTATGAACCTAAACCCAGTCTTTGAAATTAATGCACTACGCTGGTTTCCAGTTATGATGTATTCGTATCACTATGCCGTTTAAGTGGTCTACAGTGGTTGGCCCAACTGGCAGTGGGTAGCACTTCAATTTCCCCATGTTTAATAAAACATAATAGGAAGAACAAGGTTCTGGTTTAATGAAATGGGCTTCTTTTCTGCCTGGCTCTCTGAAAACTGATTTAGCCTAATAATTGTGATTCATAATG